CTTATGAAAACGGTAATACATTTTTGGTTCCATAAAAGGCGACGAATTTCTTGACTAGGTTACTTTCGGCTTCTCAAAAGACCTCTGGGGTTAGTTAATTACGTCAATACAAACCAAGCTGTGTCCGCATTATGTGTTTACTGCATGTACGTTTTGCAAAGAACGCCTAAAATCACGTCGAGAATTCAGGATAGAATCTTAAATAGTATAGTGATTTTTAAGAGAATAAAAGCACATGGTAATAACAGAAAAAGATAACTAAAAGATTCATAATTTTTATCTTCTCAGATATTGTCCGTGTATATTCTTGAAACCAGATACTTCGGAACCGTTTTGTTTCCCTTCTGCTGCTATGTTGTCGACGCAGCTTGAAACTTCTTAGATCTCATTACAGAAATAAGAATAAAAATCTTCGTTTCAAGAGCAATGAATGCGTTAAATTAAACTTTTTATAAGTACGCCCACGTATTACTCATTAATCGGCCAGTGGCTTCTGTTTATTCTACCAACGCAATCTAAGCATCAGGCGACTTACAATCCAATAATACACATTAGAAAAAAGGAGACAAGGAACGACCTCAATGAAACTGATCAGTACCATACGGAAGACAAATATTTGAAAAGGTATGCGATGGTATCCTTGTCCTGAAACTTCTAATCCCTTCTTGGCAAGCTGATAGTAGCTCGACAAACGAAACAGCCTAATTTTCATGAAACCCTCAGATTCATAATCACCGTAAATGTCTTCTGGGATGTTGCGCCGTACAGTCACGTAGATGTTCAACAACGTTCCCGCGGTGCATGCCGTCACCCTGATGGAGAAGGCAGTCCAACCTAAGTTATCTTAATCCAATCAACAGGCTTCAGAAATAATGGATTCTTCTCGGGCTACCAGCCGTGTGAGGTGGTTTAATGGGGGGAAACACGTGGTATCCAGAGAGGAATTCATTATACTTAGTCGCCGTACGTTCCACGATTTCTCAATTTTCTGCTGGAATTTCTAATCAATAATTCAAACTGTGAATAACCTTCGTGACAAATTTAGAAATCACGTGGTTCTAAAATAAAGTGTGTTCTTCCTAACGTTGCTGTATTAACGGTTAAAACAAGTTAAGTAACTGTAAGCTGTAGAAACGTAAGTAAAGTAAATTGTAATTGAGATTCGCGTGTGTTTGCATTATTTCAACGACTAGCAGATACTTTTCAGTACTTTAATGGGAACCTATACGCCATGTTTCGCTATAGCTGCTAATACCTTTACCGAAATTAACTAATGCAAATTCATAATTAAAATTCCATTTTGTACACTCTCTAATAGCCACGACGCAGTAGTTTGAAATCGTGATAGAACATTACGTCGCCACTGCGTCTGGTCACTAACCTATCTTAAAGTAGCCTAACCTAACTCAACGATTTCTACCCTGATCAGAGCATATGTTCGCATTCATGTAATTTCTCAAACATCAAATTTCCTCCCTCCACCTCAATTAAAACCATTCTGACAGAGGTTCAATCTCGCGTTGTGGGACAAATGTCTTTGTTCATTGTTTTCGTTTCAATCTGATTCGTGTATTGAAGGTAAAATTACTCTCAAAAGTTTTGACTTACACGTCTGAATTAAATATATTTCTTTTTAATTGAGGTAGAATTCTACTACTGATTGTAGAAAATAAAGTTTCTTGCTGAACGTTTTCAGGACAAATATTTATTCACGATATGGTTGTCTTCCATTGTTCCGAAATAAACGCACTTTTTCTGCAGAATTAAGAGTAATAAATATTCCTAGAAAATTAAATACATCTCAGTAACTTTCTTTCTTTCTTTTTTTTTTTTACTGCACGCATATAATTCGTCTCTGTCACTCAACACAAATACTTATAAAACTCGCCTTAGCTACCCTGAGACGCGCTTTCTCCCTGCTTCCCGTACGCATATTTGACACACCCTCAATCCTCGCCACTTACATTTCATCCCTTGGATAAATTACGTGGTTTTGGTGGGGGGATCTTGAGTCAGGGGTAACATGTTCGGGTCGTAATATTAATCTTGTGAGATTGAGAAGGGTGCCCTCAGGGTATAATGTGTTCTCTACCTGTAAAATGTGTAAAACATGGCAACAACATGACATGATTGCAGATGAGGACTATGCGAATCCATCAACCTTATCACCGTTTTACATGCATTTGTATTTATAATGTGTGACGGACAGATCCTGTTTAAGGATAAGTTAAAATAATGTGAGGAATAGGACTAATCCGTGACAACAGCTTCTGGTTATGTGTAATCAGTACTAAGGGTAATTTCCTTAAACATGAGTAGGAAAATGTCAATACGTTAGTCTCTCATTAGTTTTCCCAACAAATGGAAAGTTACTTGTCCGACCTAACTCCATGAAGCAGAGTATTTGATAATGTAATAGTCACTCAGCCAGTAAATAATACAATCGCCTTAGGATTTGAGGTTTTCGCGGCTGTGAGTCTGAAGATGGCTGCCTTCTGGGTTGTTGTGTCGTGTAGTCTGGTAGAAGTTTACCGACGGTTCAGAGGTCCTTGATACCTCCATCATCAGGGTAATGATGGCGGCAGCAATGACCTCTGAAACGTCGGTAAACTTCTACCAGACTACACGACACAACAACCCAGAAGGCAGCCATCTTCATTCACGTACCTTTACAGTTTTCTCAAAGTCAATGTGGTAATGTCAATTACAGTTAACTCCACACTAAATGAATGTAACGAAAGAGTACATAATCTTCGTGTTCTGTGAACAAGTTGCATAATAGGGCTATTCGTCCTTATTTTTCATTTCCAAAACTGCATAAACCGTTTTCAATAAAATTTGGTAGGCTATTTGAGATTAACTAATTTTAATGTAGGTAGAATGTAAATTATGTCTATGTTGGTCTTCTGGGTTATAATGTCGTGTGGACTTGTAGGTAGGTATCAACGACTGACCATGTATTGGATTTACAATATTCTGCCATATATCCTTGAAAAACATTTGAATTTCTAGGCAACTGAACCTTCACCTTACGTTTGCGTGACAGTCTAACGTTAAGGCGCTTGCTCAACCAACAAACTAATCCCAGGGGCACTCTACTCCCTTCTCAAGTAGCCGACTCCAATATATGTCAAGGTTTTTACCAAAATACTTGTTCAAGAACAAATAATTTCTTGCAGTGTTTTCTCTGTTATCTGACTTGTTCATGCCGTACTCCAGAAATTTGCAGTTTTGTGTTTAAGTGCTTGTCTCCTTGTTTATTTAACTACGCAATATGAGATAAACTGAAATTACTTGTGTAATAATAAAGAAGGGACGGTCTGTATTCCCTGTATTTCCCCGAATGAACAGAGGAAAATCACGGAAACCCGCATAGATCAAAGAAGGTTTCAAGGCCGAGCATCGAACCCGGTACTTAATATATTGTACGAAAAATAAATTGATTTCAATATTCTGTCTGTATTTAAAGAATGCCATTGGAGTAAATTAAATTCAGCGACGAGGAAAGACTCAATTCGCGTAAAGTAATTGAGGCTTTCAGCTCCTCCGTCCATCGCAACCTCCTTGACTTAAAAAAAATCCAACTCTACTATTACGGGTAAAGAAAAACACGGCTTTGTCCATAACAAAGAGAATGAACAGAGGCGAACAAGAGCTACATTGACGGCTTCTTTCTATTTGATGACATCATTGACTGCGTGAACTGACTCAACAATGGTCTTGGGCCGTAACAATACGTGAGTGCGTTATCGCATCGCCGCATCAAAATAACGAAGAAGTCTCTGGATATCTTTAACGTTTTGTACTGTACGTACAGAAATAATGCAAAGAAACTGGATCACAAGTTTCTACTCTAATAAAGTTAACAAATCGTTGGAAATTCGACATATGAATACGTTTTTATTCATAGGAGATGACAAATCCTAGCCCGCGTGCACGATATGGTCCTTTATTAACATGAAGCCAGAAATATTATTAGTCGTTATTAATACCTAAGCGAAAGTATCTATCAAAATTCTTCATGTCTGTTTGTCCATTAGTCCTCGCGAATGTCAATGAATGTCAAGTGGAAATTACAATTTCCTTAAAACGTTTAGTAAGAATCTCTTATATCAAATGTCAGGAAACTTCATCCAGCGATTCTCGAGTTGAAAGTTCGGACGGCCTGGCAGACAAACACGAACTTCCCCTACGCGCTCATTTTAGCTATGCAAAGAAGGCGTAATAAGGAAAGTAGGCTAAAAGCACACATACACTTAGCACGTTTAATAACACTCAGCTATGGTAATCTCTCTTGCGACTTCAGCACGAGTGAGTAATAGTGGAACTTCCCGTCATTTCATTAACAAACATGAGTGCGAAGATAAAGTCGCAGAACGAACACCCACTTTATACAGCAACCGGGAGGGGGGGGGGTTACAGGTAACGAGTGCAGGGGACGAGAAATCGACCCAGCAGTCGACTTCGTTCACAGTCATGGGGTTAACAAGGCCATGTCACTTTGTATTCAAACAAAGGCATCAGTGAAACGAAACACACGTGAATGCGCACATTGCCAGTTATTATTTCATTCTGCTGTTGAAATATCAACGGAAAATATCTTCATCTGTCATAATAATAATAAACAATATTTTATTGTCTATAGACTCAGTCAGTTTAATTATAAAGTAAGAAACTAGATACTTATACGCGAAGATAATATTAAAATGGATCTTAGTTGGGTGTGAGAGCGTGGATTAAATTCAAATTCCTCAGTATGAAGTCCAATTGAAAGGTCTTGTGAACACGGTAATAAGCCGCATAGTCTTGTAGGTGATTACCAACGTTTCGGAGGAATATATCACCTCCATCTTTAGGTCACAGACCACAGTCGACCATAATGGATCTTCGTGTTTCATAAAAGCAGAGAACGTCTTGACACGCAGCGAAACTATCCGATTGAACATATTTGCAAAGCGCACCTTTAAAATAGTAACTTTATAAAATTGCTCAGAACTTACCACTGATGCTGAAAAATATCTACGCGCAGTCCTCCGACATCCACTGCCTTGCACCGAATTAAGCGAGCCAGCCATCAGTCCATTCGTGTGACTTCCGAGGAAAAAACTGTAACCGGAATGAAATGGTATGAGACTATATACAACAATGAACTATCAGGAAACTTTTCTTTCATAAAAATATTTCTTGCTGAAAAAGCACAGTTACCGCCACGGAGTTAAACTGGCGAGAAGGACTGTGACAGCCGAGTGGCTGGCAAGCCTGAGGTATTTGATGGTGTCCCACAGTACCAACAGGTAAAGATTTGAATAGTATATTAACAGAAAAGCACAAACGAAGAGAGAGAGATTGGGAGGATAATATTAAAATAGATTTTTAGAGAAATATGGTATGAACATGTGGATTGGATTCAAGTGATTGATTCTAATAACGAGCTTTTATGAACACCGTGCTTTAAAGAATTAATTATAGTTCTAACTCCATTTTATTCCCGGCCTCTATTTTAATTAGGTCTACTTAATCTATTCTTACTATGTAGTATTTTATTAGGTAGAATTAATTTGCTACCTAACACAAGAACGGAGGCTATTCTATTACCTGGTTAATTACAACTACTCGCTCTTAATCCTTGGCTAACATCACTTGTTTTCACTTTTCCAGGTCGTTATGCTCTATAGACTCTAACCTCAGCGCATAATTTAACCTTTTAATGCGTCTTATCCTCGTGACAAAAACACAGAACCTTTTACTAACATAGACTAAGTTCCTCTGTTTACAAATTTACTCGAATGTGTTACAATGATTATAATTTGTCTAGGTGTTTCGGCAGCCACATTCAGCGTAGAATTATAAAGGTCAAATGAGAAGAGGAGTAGGAAGACGATACGACAGAAAGCAGAACAGTACAAATAGCAAGAGATGTAGAATTGAAGATTTCTATCTTCTGGGTTGTTGCGCTGTGTAGTATGGTCGATGTTTACCAACGTTACTGCCTCCGTCATCAGGGCGATTATCAGACTACACAGCGCAACATCCCAGAAGACAGAAATCTTCATACTCTGATGACGGAGGCAGTATGACCTCTGAAACGTTGGTAAACATCGACCAGACTACACAGCGCAACAACCCAGAAGACAGAAATCTTCATACTCTGATGACGGAAGCAGTATGACCTCTGAAACGTTGGTTAACATCGACCAGACTACACAGCGCAACAACAAAGAAGAAAGAAATCTTCATACTCACCGCTGTGAAAACCTCAAATCTTACAGATGTAGAAATGCCTGTGTTCGTACCTTCAGTGCACAAAGCCAGACGAGCGACTTTTCTAGCTCCTGCTTTTATTATTTAAGAAAATTTTAAAACAAATGACGGACAACAATAAAACAAAACTAAAGGTCACCTTTGAGATATTACATTTCCAGCTACGAATAATACAAATATAGGGGTCGTGCAAACTTCTGAGGAGGGGAGGACATGTGTCAAAATTGTTTATATCATTGTAACCAATCGCAATTAGTTACGGTTATTTTGGACGAAACACAGTCCGTTACCGTCTGCAGTATACAGACACTCAAGTACTACATTTTCATTACTCTGAACCTGAAGAAAGAGACATCAGGTTCCTCCAAGACGTCTGTAACTCTTATCTCTTTTACACGTTGCGACATTCAAAATAATGTGCAATGAACGAACCGAAATGTGAGAGGTAAGCTTACAAATGTACCCACCAGAAAAGAAATGAAACCTTCTCAGATCTCTTGTTGTTTGTTCGTTTTCAACAAACGACGCTTGTAGAAAAGCACGTCACATCCTCCGTCCCTAACATTAACACCCCTAAGCCGACCCTTTCTATGGGCTACATTAGCTAACGTTCTCACGTACATTGCGCCATTAGAATGAGCTTGTAATAAATTGTATCAGACCAAAATTCATTTTCTAGACATGAATTTAATGAATACCAGTAATTTGTTTCACCTAAAACTATGTTCATACTCTTTTCACTAATGTTACCCAAGGGATAATTAAAAGCAATAAACAAATGCTTGTTTCTGAGAATTCATACGAGTTTATGTATGTAGCAAAAGGTATTTCCCTCACTGAAACCATAACCACAGAGGAAATAACTGCCCTAGGATATCATTAAAGAATATTCTCGCACAAGCAGGAACAAACATACACAATGTACAAACCTGTTCAAGAACAATACCAGTTGCTCACTCTTTCTGATTCTCCTGTTCTTTGTATTAATCACTTGAACATATTCTTGCCATATTCTACTAGTGGTCACTACAATGAAGCAGCGTTGTGCATATATCCACCACTTTCACAACAATGTTATTCTGCTTTATCTGTGGTATTTTATCAAAACACAATAATTCCAGAATGACAAGTTTACTGCAGTCGGGGTGAATCTGTGCGCTTCGTCTACGTCACTAGCCTGTGGGTATACTATGCAAATCAAAAACATTTCCGACATACGAAATGAGACGAGATACACTGTACTGCCGCTGGAAAATAACGATTGTGAGGACAGTATATGATACATTATCTGTTACCCTTCCAACTTCTCTTATCCTCTTGCGTTTTGTTTATAACGGATCTCGAGCGCACAGATTTGCCCCGACTACAGTATAGGACAGGAAACATCAATTAGATTATAGAGAAATTTCTGATAGCAATTCTACATGAGATACACTTGTCAGGCACTGGCCACCTGAAAAGAGTTTGATTTCAGAGTTATTTACTTCGTAGGTTAGTACATAGTAAATACGGCTGTAACTAAATTTAAAACATTTACTCATATCTGTAACTGTTGTGTAAGTTATTTGATATTGAGATTAAATTTATTGTTTTCAATATATGAGACTGAAATACATGTTTGAGCTTTAAAACTTACACAGTCCTATTTCCAATAGTCCATCCGCATCTCAGCTACGTCGAACCGGTTTAGAGCTTTCAACTGAACTGAGGTCTACAGAACGAACTAGATTTACAAAGATAGTAACACTGTAAAGATATTATAATCATAAAGGATTCAATTCCAGTGTCGTGTTTTGATAAATGTCTGTGAGTAGGAGATTGATAATTTAATAAACTGTCCATTTAAAAAGATTCATTTGGTTTTTCAAATTATTGTTCAGTATATCTAGACCAAAAATAACTCCGTTGTGTATGTTTAATTCATTCCGACGTCCATCAAAATCAAACATTTTTCGCCGCGAGGATACGTACATGGAAATTATTTATTTGTTTTCGCTACTGAGACTCAGAGAAATGTCTCCCCTATAGGTTCGGAATAAACTAACAATATCATGTTCAAATTACTTCATCTTTCAATTTAGGTTCCTTAAAAATTCTAAAAGTATGCGAGCCAGTAATTGTCCTTCAGCTTGTTTAACAACGCTTTTTGAACCACAACGTTCAAGTAGTGTTGAGCGATTAATTGAGGAAGATTTGAAAACAAGGATATTGTTTGGAATAACTGCGGAAAGCAGAGTAGGCCTATAGATTGTCTTGGGCCGAAAATCGAATCCGGGACCTTCCGAACACGAAGCAAAAGTACCAATTTTCTTATGTATTTCAGTTCAGATAAACATTTCGTTCAACAGGAATATTCTAGCACGAATGTCCCATTGCATGTTCGCCATATATATTCCACCAGGTTATAAAATGTAGAACTCTGAAGGGCAACGAATCGCGTGCTCTTATACCAGACTGTTATCAGAAGTCTCGTATTATCCGAGACAAAATCTCGCATACATAAAAATATTATATGCCAACGGTTCTACTTATTGATTTTATAATTACGCACACATATTTACCTATCTTGTAGTTCATTTACTAACTAGCCTTCATTCTTCAAACGTCAGCACATACAAAACGTCCAGTAACAACAAAACACGAAATATGCACTATATTCCTCCGAAACGATGTAACAACCCAGGAGACCAACATCTACAATGCGAAATTATATACACTTGCATTCATTCACACCATATGACTTCATTACCAGTATGCATGCGAACACAGATGTAGACAAAATCATTACATAAAGGCTAACTAACAAATCCTCTGAAAATGTGGCAAAGTTCAAATACTTGGAAACGATGTTAACATATCATAATTGCATTCACGAAAAAATGCAAAGCAGACAATTTGGGGAATGCTTGTTACCACGTAGTTCAGAATCTTTTGTCTTCCCGTCTCCTGTCTAAAAATATAAAGACTAATTTTACGGTCAATAATAATTTAAATAATTTTACCTGTAATTCTGGATGAGTGTAAAACCTGGTCCCTCACGTTAAAGAAAACTATATCAGCAAAAGTATTTTCTTCATTCCGTTGCTATTAAAGCTCAAAATCCCGGGCTTAGCTGCAATACGCTGCCAACCAACGATATATAAACTGTGACACAAGTCGATATTCGACACATTGCCGGCAACACTCACATTACCGTTGTTTACACTTAACCAGAGCCAAACTTGCTTTAAGTTATGTGACACAAAATAATTTATCTTTTGTAAACTATCTTCACGAAAATTTCATAACATACATTATATTATAACAACAGAATTAAATAAAAACCGACATCTTATCTTATTTGGTATTGGCAACACTGCTGAATTCCTTCCAGTATGCAAATGGTAATATAAGCAATTGGCTACGAATTGTGATGAGTAATGATTCTAGCAGACGGTTATATGAGGATACCGGGAGTGAAACGAAGCAAACTATCGCATATTTTTAATACAGTAGATATTTGAACTTATTTCACGTTGTATGTTAGTTGTTTGAGGTTGTGAGGTTTTAGAAACTTGTCAGTTTTGTTTCACAAACATGAGACCAAATTTTTGCCTAGGCTGTGATTTGCAGATTTGTTTAGTTGCGTGTTAAAGTACTATGTCTTCTCGTGAAACTGTGTATAATGCTTAGAAGAAATGTGTTTTGAAGAACTTGCATTCCATTATAGTACAAATTCAACTTAAAACCTAACCTCATAAGTACGAGTGATGCTCTTCTCCAGACGAAGGGTATTTAATCATCACGAATTTTTACCAATGAATAATGTCGCAACATGGCTACCAACGAACACTTAATTATTCTCTTCCACAAGAGGGAACCATGGACTTATTCATCGAGACACTTACTGGAACAGCGTTTGAGATGACAGTATCTCCTTTTGATACTGTCATGTCAATCAAATCAAAGATTCAGAGAGTAGAAGGTAGGACTTCTACAGTGTGACTATCTAGAGCTGTGTTGTTCTTCTGCGGTATTCTAGTTTTCATTTTGCATGCTGTTTCAGGTATCCCCGTGTCACACCAACATCTACTGTACAACCTTAAAGAATTAGATGATTCAGCATGTCTCATAGATTATGCCATTCAAGATGGTGCCACACTCAAGTTGGTATTATCAATGAGAGGTGGACCTATTAGCACCCGGCGTCTCCCTCCAGGGGAAGAGCTTGCTTGGAAAGAATTACGAGAATTTGTTGAAAGTAACAGGTAATGATATAGCTAGGCTGAAAAAGGCAAATTTGGAAATGTGACACATTTCACTTTAAATTGTGTTGACATTCCATCATCCTTCCTTCTCCTCCTCCCCCTTCCAGTTTCAGCTCTCAACATAACTTTTCAGTTTCCACATATTATCTTTCCTCCATCCTTTAGAGAGACAGTGAATAGATATAAATGATTTCCCATAAGTTTAATGTTGGTAATAAATAGTTAATAATGATACATGATAGGTAGATGCATAACTGATGTTATAACTTTGCATCTTTTTCCAAGACAGAAGCTGCTTTGGTTAGAAAGTGTAAATTCAATTTTCAGGGAGGATGTGTTTGAACATCTGCCTCCTGGATGTCATGTAACAGTACTTGTGTTCCGTGAAGGTGATCAAGTCAACTTGTTCAGAGTTATTGAAAACGAAGATGGGACATATTCTCCACTCTCTGAATCTTGGAGTGGCTCTTCCATTCGGTAAGAATTTTCTCAAGCTTGCCTTATAAAATGATGGTCAGCACACATACCCATTAAATTTAGTTATATTGCTTTGGCTTTAAAGTATATGAAAATATAACTCCAATATCATGGTCAGCTCATGAATTGATCATTACACTGGTCTGAATTGTATATAACTGCAATTACAAATTTAATTTTCATTTTGGTACATTTGTCTGTGACGTGGTAGCTTTAAGAAGCTTAAGGACAGGACCCATATCTTGGAATTTGGCAGCTATAAAAAACCCTTATGATGAATCTGCCTTCAAAATATTGTCCTTCAGCAGTTACTCACTTCTACCAGCACCTGTACAGTTGTTCAAAACATTTATGGAAGAAGTCACAATGCATGACCTCCTGCAGCACACACATGGAAGCCCCTTAAAACATCTGACAGCTCTTCAAGTCCTTCATCCACAGAAAGTGGTACAAATTGCACTGTCTGGAGTTGGGAGAATATGATGGTTCCAGAAGCATCGTGATAACCATGCATGGTAAGTTTCAACTCTCAAGCAGTGGTTAATTTTCTAGAACCAATCTTTGTCCTACCACATTTGAGGCAAACTGCTTCCTGTACACAGGTGTGCATCTCCTTCTGCTTCTTCTTGTTGACAGTAGCTCCCTCAGGATTGACTTGTGTATGATGGCCTACCATTGAAAGATATCCAACATCATCATCCCTTTCAAGCAATCCTGCTGACTCTTCATGTCAGCAACCAGCAGCATCCACCTAGAGGATTGTTCTTTACTTTGGTCAAGATTTAATCATCCGTGATGACCTTTCAGATGAAGTCTGCTGCATTGATGTGTTCACCACTGATCCATATGCTGTCACTGCCTTATTCATGCATCAGAATCCTTGATGTGATGGACCTTCACAGAGAACGGAAACTGCCAACCAAAATTCTTATTTTTTTGCTCTCATATCTACCATCCAACAGTGATCATAATGCATAACCCCCCCACCTATCTCACCTTGTTACTTGTTTTGCTATGTTACAAGCTATCTGCTGCATGTCTCTTCTTCATGATTACTGTTCAACCTGTGATGCCATTTGAACACATTGGATACCCCCAGACTATGTGCAATGTAGCTGTATTTGTATTCTAATTATTATGGATTTAATCCTAATCAAGGATGTTGTACGAGTGGAATGCATTGAACGTTATTACATTATATACAAGTTATATGGAATCAAAATATTGACATTTTAATTTATTTCGTTAGGAATCTATTTGCTGAGGAGGAGCCAGAAGAAAGTGCAAGAAGACTCCAAGAAAACTCTGTTACAATGGGAAAAATGCAAGAGCTTCGAACAAGGATGGAAAAATTATCTTTGCAAAAGAAGGCAAGATTCTAACTTTTAAATATTTTAGTATGATATGCCTCCATATCTGCATTTAGTGTGTGTGTATATACCTCCTCTCCCCATCAAGCACCTGCATGGCATATAGCGGGACAACTTTATGTTAATCACTACATCATGATGCTTGGTTTAGTTGTGTTAACATTTCTACAGGGACTCACACATATGTATGCTATAGAATACGATAATTACAATGCAATTAACAATTCTATTTTCATATGTTACAGCCAAAGAAACCAACTCCACGTGTTCTTTCAGCTAAACGCCCACTGCTTCATAATCGTAGGGGAACGCCTCGACCCCACCAAAATCATAAATCAGGGTCCCCAGAGCACAGTGACATTCCACAGACAAAGAAACAAAGTAATATCCTACAGCTTCCTCCCATAAATAAATCAGAAATAAACTTAACGTCTGCCACCCCACACAGACAACGCTCAAGTGGTAGAACGTACTTGGCAACAAGTTCCCTCCTCCAACCACAGAATCAGCTGCATGTTAGAAGAACCAGAGACCTGGAAACTAAACTCTCAGATGATGGAAGTGAATGCGACAGTAATTTAACGGGAACTGTAAATGAACCTGGTAGAAGAGGATCACAACAGCACAAATTACCACCAGTTGTTTCAACTTTTATTCCCCTTTCGGGCAGTTTGGAAACCAGCAACGGTACAGGAAATAATAGGCATCTCCTAGACATGAAATGGAGCCAAAACACTAATTATGGACAGGGAAGAGGTACAGGAAGTAGAAGTTGCAGGGAAAAAACAAAAAATTCTAAGGAAGACTTAAGTCTGAGTGGAAGTCAGGCAGTTTCAGTCATACCAACACCGAACATCGCCATAGTGGGAAAGGAAGAGCCAGATTTTACTTCACCTCCGAATCATATCTTAGTTCCATCCAAAGAAGCTACCACATTTACAGTTTCACAGATCCATCAGAAACGAGTAAGAACACCCATTAGCAATAGCCAAAACCGATACAGAGTGTCGCGATTCATTATAGATGACGATGATCGGCCCAAAACTTCCCCAGATGAGTTGACTCAACGACAGGAAGCTGCAAAGGAATTGTGTAATATTCTCAGTGAAACCAAATGGCATAGACAGGAACAACAGCGGAGAGTTCACTGTAGCAATTCACAATTAGAAGTGCTAGGTGATTTACCTCTAGCACAAAAAAGGAATGAAAGTAATTCACAAGACTTTGTGCAACAAGAGGTAAGGTCTACAATTGACTTGACAGTTCCTCAGAAGTCATCAGTGATCAATGTGACGACACAGTCTCCAAGATATGGCCGCAGAAGTGGTATGTTGCTGTCAACCAAATGTCATGATAAGAATGATAAAGTAGAACATGATGCAGCTACCATACACCAGACAGAACTAAATCTAAATTCAGATTCAGTGAGACAATCAAAACGATTGTCATCTTCTGGTCATGGTAATTTGCTGTATCCTGCGCACAAGAGGATGGAATTGGCACCACAATCCTTGCCTCTTGTTCCCACTAAGAAGCAAAGCACAGTGAGAAGTCGGTGTGCGGAGTGTAGAAAGAGACTGAATATTACAAATGTATATACCTGTCGCTGCGACAAACTTTTCTGCGCTGCTCATCGTTACTCAGAACTACATAACTGCACATTTGACTATAAAAGTGATGGTCGCAAAATACTAGAACAAACTAACCCACTAGTTACAGCACCAAAGTTGCCAAAAATTTAAAAAAATATTATAAAATTACACCAGAATTGTATGTCAGCAAAAATTGCTCTAAGTATTTTTAGTTTAAATTGCTGCAGATAAAACATACATCTTCCTGTTTATATATTTCAATGCAAAGTGATAAGTATTTCATACTAATATTTCTTTCAGTAATTGTTTCATTCATTTAGGAAAGGTGTTGTGTTTATAAGAATAATCTCTGAGACTTCAGTTCATTTTAATTACATGGTTTATAAGCAAGAAAATTTGGCTTATTCTAATGTAATTTACAAACACAACGAAGGAATGTGTATAATATTTTCAAAATGCTACTGTAAGGGTCAAGCTTCCTTAATAACTTGAATAAATACATAGTTATAAAATGTGATAATATTTGTGCCTGTTTTTTTTGTTTGTTTTTTTTCATAACTGTAATGGATCTAGGTTATAAGTTACCAAAATAGCTTTGCCAAGAATATTTCCATTGAACAGTTCAATTTGAAAGTACTTATTTCACATGAAATTATCTAGTAACGATGTTTACTCCGATCTCTGATTTTGTATGCACACTTTAAAAGTAGAAAGAGTTTTACAGTTACTGTCTTTAATAATTCAGACAATAGTTTGTTTATATGTAATAACCATAGCACTGTTTATGAAATGGAAAACTTTGTGATGAGATTTCAGTTCCCATGAAGATGACTGATATTATGCCATGCAGTCTGGTAGAAACTGTATTTCAGATGTGGTCAAGATAGAGGCAGTAAGCACCTCTACAACATCAGACAGTTTTTACCAGGTTACATGGTACAGTATCCAGCATATTTTATGATGTTCCAATTTCAAGCTTGTAATAATTTAATCCACAATCAATTCCATCTGTCACTATAACCAAAGTAAATGCTTACCTCAAGAAATAACTTGGTTACACAATATTAAATGCCAACCAATAAAAATGCTTTTTCTTTATGCTGCCGACATCTCAGTGGTTTTTCTACCAATCCTCAATTCTGACATACCATAATCCCGTACATCGCAGCCTGTCACAGAGGCACAGGATTTGACATGCCATCCATCCACTGTGCCATTTTCTTAGATGAGAAGGGGTTCAATTCCCAGAACATATTACCCGTAATTTCCCATGGTTTATTTCATGATCTCTCCAGCAAAGCTGTAAAATACCAGCAGAGTTAAGGATGGGTTTAAATAACAACAGACATCTGATATGCAGTCAATACAGACCATGACTGATGCTACACAACAACAATAATTCAGAGGACTGCAAGGAAAGAGAATATAAGACGATAGATGTTCCAACAAACACAGAATCTCACAAAACCACAAACTGGCTAATTAAAGGAAAAACTTCCATTTTCATACTCATTACCATCAAATTTCACTGGTAAACGTCTGTGGGGAGGCTATTTTACGTTACACATGCAGATTCAAAATACTCGTAACCCATTAGGGTTACGAGTATTGAGGCAGTAAGCTTCTCTCAAACTTTGGTCAAAATCCACCAGACTACATCAAGCAACAACCCAGAAAACGGCCATCTTCATATTAATTGTTATGATAACCTCAAATTTCATGGAATCAATCAGTTACACACCTTTAAAGAATCAAAATCAACTTGTAAAATAAAGTATTGAGAGCTTCTACTCCTAAGCCTGAAAATAGTCAATTGCTTCAGATAAGCAGACCACTACACTTCTTTAAGCCTCATCTATAACTAAGGTTTATATTACCTTGGCTTTTTAGTATTGACATTTATTAACCTAATAATGGCCTTCAAAATATTCTGAAACAATAATGGCCAAAAATGTAACGTTATATTGAACATAAATGTTTGGTAATGTCACCTTTGTCAGTTTCTAAAAGTAATCAGGGAAGGAGGAATATGCAGGCATTTCATAAAACATAAAAATGTGTGTATTGACACCAAGACTAGAGCAGTACATATTTTTGTGCCAGATGGTACAGCTGTATGGCCATTAAATTTGCCCAAAACGTTTTGTAAAGCTATGATAACAGAACCACGTATCTTAAAAAGAACTTGTGTCATAACAAAAGTAGAAAATAAGTCCACACAATTTACTTTTATTTTATGATAAAAAATTCAAATGGAAAGGATCAGACTTCATACTTCTAAACCAAAGAAAACTTTATAAATTCTTTTAATATCCTCAAAATTATATGAAGGTGGAAATTATGTGAATAAGTTTTCCTGATGTTATGTAAACTGAAGGTTAATTACAGCAATAAAAAGAGAGTTATATTAAATCACAATCCACCATATCTACACAGCCATTACAAATTCTGGCTATGTATCTCAAGAAATTTGTCTAGTACAATGTTCATTAATTTGTTTCTTTATCTTGGTTCTTGGGTTATTTAACAGTGTTCTTCCAAACGCATTGGTTGTATACCTTCAAATAGGATGATAATGTGAATAATGGATTGGAAAAGCTATCAATGGAAGTTGTCATGGGCATTTTAAGGTAATATCCCAGCAATTTATCTAGAGGGACTAAGGTAAAAATCATGGAAATCTCAGTCAGGACAGTTCATCTACTGGCCAAAATTCAAAGCTGGGAACTACAGAGCATTAAATAAGAGTAACCATAAATCAACCAAACATCTTAAAAATTGTACCCACTGACTTACAGTTTGTATCATCTTGTGCCAAGCAACATCTCCCTCATAATGTTGATATGGACATGTAATGCATATTCAAATCACTGATTTTATTATCCCTGAAAATACAAATACCAGCCAAAAGCATAAAACATGAAGTTCCTCTTTGTACACAGTGGCACATAATTATTAATCACCTATCGGAACGCAGAGGGTATTCTGTGTGCTTTTCATGATTTCTTGGCAGAAATTCTTGCATCAGCTGAATCTTGTATAGAAAAAGATGCAAGTCCTGTGCCAAAATTTTTCTGCAGCCATTTGGGTGTTAAAATTTATACAGAATTCTCTGCATCAATAAAACTGAACAATTGTTTGGAAAATAAAAATTCAACAACTGTTGTTCACTGCTGGGCTGTACAGTGGTTCGTAATAATATCCCAAGTCTACTTTATTTCCAAAAATAAATAGAAATGCAATTAGTTAAAATTGAATGACTAATTATGTGCCAATCTGTACAAATCTTTTTATCTCTCCTGTATCTTCATATTTTCTTTTAAAATTTACTTCCACATTTCATTATTTATCCTCTCATCAGAATATTAGACTGTTGCAACCATTTGAAACAAATGATAAAATGTGTTATAAAATTTCACATGTCTAGTAACAAACATTTCCTGAATTTAGATGCCTCACGATTTAATTGCGATTCTTCATTTATGTTCCTTACTTACCATTCCCATATATTTGAATTTTGGTAAGTCTTCAGTGCATTTTACATATCATTAGATAGACTCAAATAATATAATAATAAAACCACATACATACAGGAAAATTTACATAACCATCACTACTCATATCTCCACAATCACTTCCATACAATTTTCCTCATATTTTAAGTTTTAAGGCTGCTAAATGAAAATGGATTTTGTGTAAGATCCATCATGTTAATTAATTAAAAACTAGCCGATCTAATGCATAGTAACTATTCAAGGGAACACAAGAACATGAAAAAAAAAATCATCAATGCTCCAGGTAGAATAAAGTAGCTAAGGGGGCCGCGTCACAAAGTCCTGTCAGCAACCATGCAGAGACGTAAATTTTTTTAAATTGGTCCCAAATAAGAGAACCTTACGTACACAATATATAAAACTTTACAAAATTCCTAAAAACATCTTGTTAAAGCATATTTTGGCAGGAAACTTTCAGAATACGTATGTACAGACATCACTCACGACTCAATCGGGATTTAATGCTGACAAGGACATTTCTTCCAATAAACTCTCAAACAACTTGACAAGATTCTCAATTCCTTCCAGATAGTTTGTATCTAGTTCATCATTCACCGATGGAAATGGATGAGCAAAATCAATCATTTTTACCTGAACCCACTCCTCTTTGCTTAGAGGCTTGTCAGCACTTTTCAAGTCATTCAGCTGAAACGTATAGTTCTCTTTCATTGACTGAAGATCTTTCTCATAATTGTTAATAAGGGAGTGGGTTTGACATGCCTTCTCAAAACCAGCATGCCAACTACTATCATCAAAGGTACCATTCTGTTTCTGGAAAGAAGCTGGAGTTCCAGGTACGGACAATGTATTGGGAGAAAGCCTTCCATTAGAACTTCTAGAATTACGTGATTTGTCGGGTGCCAATCCTGAAAAATTGAACTGGTCAGAATTTCGTTGTGAACAGAATCCAGGGCTAAGCGTTCCAAGATTAAATGGGCCGCCAAACACCGGTGGAGTGGTGACACTGAGGGTTAATGCTCGGCCCAAGATTGGACTCAACGGACGACTTGGACTGCAACCCTCAATTTTGAGACACTGTCTGAGTCTTCTTGCATCATAAACAAGCAGAAGGGAACTTGAATACAGTCTGAATCTGCGTTGAATCCTGCACCATCGGAGTATTCGCCACAGACTAGCGAGAAACTGCAGCATCATTTGACGACTGAGGCCAGAGTCAGAATTCAAGTACAGCTTCAAGGCTGAACAACAAAAGAAGTTATTAGTTTCAAGACGATGATGAAGGGGGGTTTCAGAAAAAAAAAATGCACAGAAATATTTTTCAGAGGGAGAATTTCTGCTCAGAAAGATAACAATAAAACTTTAGTTTCATTAAAAGTGTTACAATTTAATAGCCTTGAACAGTTAAGTTACTGCAACAGCACTTTACTATAAAATTAACTCAGATTTAATAAGATTCCTATGAAAGTTGTTTTCAGATATAAAATTCATCTATTACCCTTACAGAAGGTCTCACATATATTCAAAATGCTCATTTAAGAGAATCAAAATATTTAAGAAAATTATTGACTTATTAATTTCAAACCCAAATAAAATTAGATTTAATAGCACTCCTTCACAATGCTGGGACTGCAATAAAGACATTTGGTACTTGTGGGTTATCGGGACACATTGCTTTAAAGTTGTTAGGTTAGGTAAGGTTAGCTTGGGTCAGGTTAGGTTAATGTGTGTGGATAAATGAGATATACTTGAAAGTTATTATATTTTATTTCAATGAATGACAACTAACCTAACCTAACCTAACCTATTTTTAAAGCAATGTGTCCCGATAACCCACAAGTACCACAAGTTTCAAATGGATAAAAATGTGTTTATAAATATCCATTTTTATAAAGTTTTGCATCTTTAATGTGGATACCATGACTACGTGTTTTTGAGAAGCTATCATGGCAGTGACAATGTTGAGATTTTATTCTGAGTTGTAATAATAATCCAGAAGAACAACAATGACTATATTTTTTCCTACACTACTAACACAATCAAATCTTGACCCCATGCTGGCAGTTCTAATTAATGTTTATATCATTTCCTCATACTTCCAAATGAATATTTGGAAAGGATCTTAAAGATCTCAAAGATTACGTCCCACATTATTGTTAGACAACCTAAGAGATAAGAAATATCATCTAAATACCCAAAATGTTTTGAATAAGTACACCTATAATCTGCTCAGACTACAGTAGGATAATATTAATTCTATTCCTGACATAACTTACCATCTCTCACAGTAGTCTTGTTCAAATTCTTCCCATAATCTTTCCCCAACTTCATAACATTACCAGTAGATATTCTATGAACTTGAAAGCCAGGAATGCAGAACCCAAGATCCTGTTTGCATTCACTATATTTTTGCTGAAAAAATTAAAAATATAAAAAGAATCTAATTTCAGATACAAGGAATGGATACGGAAATTTTGTGGGTGCTGAAAAAATTAAAAATATAAAAAGAACTCTGATTTCAGATACAAGGAATGGATACAGAAATTTTGTGGGGAAGTAACTAACCCCATCGCCCTTCTTGATATGTTCAGCTAGTCAAGAAATTCTCTGCCTTCCACGGAACGTGAAGATTCAATACCGTGTTCACAACACCTCTCTATCAAGCCAATCCACAGCTACCAATCCAATATCTCTCAGATCTGTTTTAATATTATCCTCTCCTCTTTGCCTATATATTCTCTTCACTGAAGATTAAGTGAATGAAACTGCTTCAAGATGATGTCAAATAGTACGTTTCACTGTGTTGGATCATTAGATTCTACTACTGAAATGTTAGTTACAAATTAGTTACCATAGGCTGGACAATTTCTGGCAAGACAGAATTTTTTTCTTTGCCACCAGATCCAGATCAGCTCCACGCTCCAACCAGCTTCCTATCCGATGGGTGCTAGGATTCATTCTTCAAGGGTAAAGTGACAAGAGAATGATGCTATGAGAAGTCTAAGAGGCTATATAATTCCAGTAACATAAATCTAAGACAATCCTTAGCTGACTCAATTTATGAGCCAACTCTCTAATGTTCCATCACGAAAACGTGAGAACCCCTTATCAGGCAGCTGAGGCCCACAGCCATACAGTTCTATTATAACATCATAGAACACTGAATGTAAGTAAGAAAAATCTGTAATTCTTTATGCTATAACACTACAACTAGACAAAAACAGCAACTTACATCTTCATTTTTTCTCTTCTCTAATGATGCCTCGGGATCCCATGTTTGTCTTCCGATTTTGACATCCATGATACACGGTTCTGCAATGTCATTTGCTACATTGTCCAATATGATGAACTTGACATCTGAATTTAACACATAATTCACAGTAATATGTAAACAATTAAATACACTATTCTCTCAGTACCGGCAAACTCATATTTTTTTAATAGAAATGTAAGAGTACATAGTAATCATCTTCATCAGGGCTCCATAAAGACACATTTACATTTATCACTGAATTTTATAGAATTCTTACCTTTTTCATTTATTTTCAAGGTTGTAGTGCCCAAAAATTTTGGGACCAATTTCTTGAGCTCAACTGATACTGCATCATTAGCACTCTGCAAGTCTTGATAAAACTTTATTTCACGTTCCCCATAAGCAGGTTTCTCTATTGGTTTCAATACATACCCATCCTTATGTTTCAACATTCCTGCAAGAACAAGTTTGCATAAATTGTGAGACCTGATAATTTCATGGAGGTGAACATTTGGAATGTTGTCTACATTATGATGCCACGCAGTAAAGTACGTGACTGACGACTCTTTTGTATCTTGAAGATGGAGGCAATGATTTTTTACAAAAATAAACTCATTATAATCAGTTTACAAAACTACGTATATTATAACCAGCAATTAAAACACGCTCACTCTAGATATTTGTGAAAAATGTAAGATGTTCTAACAAACTCAAACGTAACCTAGCATACCACAAATGTCTGAAAAGTGTGAATATACGAAAGGTTTAGCCGTAAAAGTGACAGTTATGACATGAAATTTAAAATATTTAAATCAAGAAAATGTAAGTCTCTATTACCTAGTGTATTTTTACCATCTCCAAATGAATGTCCTGCAACTTGGTTTTCCATGGGCAGTGTATTTGGTGGGAGAGAACAGTTTTTATTTGCATCGTCAACATCAAAATGTGTTGCCTTAATTCCATTCAACTTCAGAAACTTCTCCCCTGCCTTGCTTCGTACTGAAACGGTACTCATCTTGCAATCTTCAACCTGAAAACGTATTCACGTCATTAAATTTAGATTTACCAGGAATAAAATACTTAACACGAAGTATCATAAATATGACTATCATAATGACTGGTAAACAATACAAACTGGTCAGTACCATAATGGCTTCAAATCATGAGTCTATTAATTGAAAATCTCGTTGTTTGTAATTTATATGGTGTTCCTGTTCGACATATACAAACTGTTACGCCTTTTTCTATACGTATCGTTACATAACCAGAAGTTAGTAGTGTCTAGTGCATATATTTTTAATCAACACTCAATTTGGGTACACAAACACATTTATAGTGTTAGAAGTGGCTTTTAAAATTCAGATGCGACATTTCATAAATGTGCCATCTATTTCCTAAAATAAAAATTTCTTGTCGTGAAAGATGTTCCTGCAAACCCTCTTAACCAGTTAAAGCCCGAAGACATTTTATACGTATCGTTACATAACCAGAAGTTAGTAGTGTCTAGTGCATATATTTTTAATCAACACTCAATTTGGGTACACAAACACATTTATAGTGTTAGAAGTGGCTTTTAAAATTCAGATGCGACATTTCATAAATGTGCCATCTATTTCCTAAAATAAAAATTTCTTGTCGTGAAAGATGTTCCTGCAAACCCTCTTAACCAGTTAAAGCCCGAAGACATTTTCAATCGAGTGTCAAAGAAAATCAGATATTTATAGGTAATGGAGATAAATCTCATCTGACCAAGTATTGCCGGTGGTGAATCTCATCTCCCTTGTCTTCTTATCTTCCCTCCACAACAATATCAAGAGCGCTCTCCAACGAAATTGTGATGTTAAATAAGTGACAACGAGATTCGACTCAATTAATTTGTTGAAACTGTCTTTATACATCCTACTACAACGGCCGTCACCAAATTTCATCTTCAAGGCCATATAAAATCGCACAACTTGTAACACGAACAGCAGAACACAAGCGAGTGAAGACGGTTGAGAACTCGCTGCGTACATGCTAAAACCGCTTTAAACTATGCAATTTGGTGACGTGGTAATTCAACATTCCTTCCAAAATGCCGTGGCCCATTTGCAGTGATCCCGAATAGCCTATAACTGAGGTCCGTCTCTAGAATTTCGTCCCATATTCATATTAACCTGTTACTGTTCAGGCTTCATAACCACAGCCGAACACTGGGAGAGCTAATGTATTGCGTTTAAATATTGCAAATTTTTACAAATTTTCTTTGGTTCCTTGGCGACAGATTTCTAATTTATTCGAATCAAATTTGTAAGCCGCGTCAGGTTCTTATTATTCAAATTTTAAATTTCACTTAAGTTCGAAACACTCGTGAGTCCCATCTACTTTTAATGGAGAATACTGTTGTTATCTAGGTACACACTGTACACATCTCGGTATCGCGTGACTTCCCATATCTTCTGTCACATCACATATTTACGAGTACTGTTGACAGGAGATATCTCTGGTTTCCCAGATATATCTGCCACAATGTTGGCTTCATGACGTTACTTTGGTAACTAATTCCATTCCTTTTAAGGAACCTCGAAGGTTTTTACGTGTTCACGCAAGCCCGCCACTGGAATCTAACCTGGCCACATAACTCGAGCTCACATCCCCACAGCTATACCTATAAGATCCACTTTAATATTATATTTCTTTGTACACCTATATTTCAGGAATGGTCTCTTCCCTTCAGATTTCCAAACCAAAATCTTGTGTTCATTTCTCATCACCGTTTTGAATAATTCTATACAAAAATTACGACATACGATTCCCATGTTTGTTTGTTTCCAACAAATACATTCTAAATCAACTGCCGGTTTTCAAATCAACAATCCTTTTCAAAAATATAGACAGAAGTTTTAAACATCTGGCAAGACAGTAAAACCAACATCATCAATGCGGGATACTGTGAAGTAGCATGACCTTAACGTGCTGAAAAACGTGTTTAAAAAGGTCACAGTACTGGCATTGTTCTTAAAGATAAAAACACAGTAATCGACAGGACTACATTTTGAATATAAATTCCGTAATGCCTAGATAAAATGTGGTTTGATGAGAAGCTAAAACGTCTACAAAATCTTCTTTCATGAAGACAAGAGGCTGTTATCCTATGTCAAACAAAAGCAGTCCTTTTTAAAGCGTATACAGAATTACTCGTTTCCTTAAGACAAGTGCACTAGACCTGAGGCATTATGTTTGAAGCCTTAAGATTGCCAGGAACTATAAGTTCAGAGATTAGGGGGCAATGATTCTTAAAGATTAAAATTTGATTAGGGTAAATGCTTCAGCAAATACCAAAGATACGTAGAAGTCACGTTTAGCACAAACAATGAGTGTTATCGACGATCAAAATGTCAAAGCTTAGTGATAAATATGCAATTAACGAGTCTCAGAATTTCATGAGTCATTTTGAGTTATGGACTGTATTAATACTATAATTATTTGTTAACTAGTAATGCATGTTTCTTGATATCAATTCATATTATAATCATCACCGTGATAGGCCAGTTAAAAAAGAAAAATAAATGAAAATAAGTTAACTTTAAAATATATTTTATTATTGTTGGAATGCCAAAGTTATCTGGCATTCAATAAAATCTTCTCGGGCAATCAACCGCGACTTCAGAGGTAGCCAGTCACATCAGAACCCTGACGATGGGGACAGAGTTGGTTCCCGAAACGTCGGTTTACTACGGTAACCACTTGACTCAGCTGATTGCCCGAGAAGATTTTATTGATTGTACTCGCCGCGAAAGTCTCAAATCCTATATTACCTGGCATTCTATATTTTTAAGAAATTAATATACTCGTAAGCAATGTCGTATTATATTGCAAACAAAAGGGAAATTTCTAGTTGATGTAGGCTTATTTCTCTAACTTATATGAATCAATATCAATTTACACGACATTGCCCACATTCTGCTTCGTCTAAACAGCAAGTTTTCTCTTGAGAAGCTAACAGCCTCTCAGCTGATAAGTATTTACCGCCATTTAAGGAACCAGAAAGTTACTGTTTTCACATCTTGCTACTGGTCCTTATCCTGAGCCAGATGACGCTATCCCACCCCATCATATTCTGTTTCTTTAAGATCCATTTTAATATTATCCTCCCATCTACACCAAATCTCCCTTCATGTTTCGATGTCTTATAATGAGACACTTAAGACACTGAAGAAGAGTGAACATTAATTTTATTTCCCATTAATTATAATTAGAGAAGTCAACAGATGTCAACAGTTGGTCCTACAAATATATTTCACACCGAACAGCTTCAATGCAAGTTTTCTTTAATACAATGGACGACCTTCCGTGAACATGTGGGACAGCCCTGATCAGCTTGATTTCACAAACTGGTTTCTAAAATTTGTAATAGTCTTTTTTTTTTAATGGTGTTGTCTGGAAAGGTCGATATATCAACGTTTTACGATACATGCTAAATTTGCGTGCTACGTAGCCACTATACGTAGACAAACAGCTGATTAAGAACAGAATGACAAATGACTGCTGATTTTTCGTCTCCTTTGTTTGTGAGATTAGTATAATTCAGACTCATGTACTCCGGGACCCATATTTGCTTTGTATTCAGCCTCACAAGGTAAATGATATTATTAAAGTGTAGGTGAATGTTGTGTCCAGCTTTCAGTGTAGAATGCTGATATCAATGCAAATAGAAGTTTTCAAACTTTTCTGTATTGTGGCCAACGTCCTGCATCAATATTTTAACACAAAGCGTCACCTACATATTATGTCGTATCTTAATAATAATTCAAATAGGACTTCCTAGGGAGCACTGGCCAACTTTCTTACATCAAATACTTAATTTTCATACACAAATATAACTTTCCCTATAAACTTAACAATTTCTATGGTTTCGTTGTCTTCCTATACATGAGCATGGCGAAATAGACCAGAGTTTAAAACAAACAGATCATTACTAATTTGAATATCACTTTGACCAATTGCTGCAAGTTCGTCATGATAAACAAGAGTCTGAGAGGTATCATGCTAAGATGAACTAACGCCGTTCAATTTCAGATGCTGGATACTAAAAAACTAGGAGCCCAACAAACGCTATTACAAAAGCCTCATATATACAAATCATACAAACAAAATAGACGAAAGAAGTCGATAAAGTCCGAAACCTGAAGCTACACAGCGATCACCAAACATCGACATTCGGACAGATGAGTACTTTGATAAACAATTATATGAAATGGCGTGTGTGTATGTTATATCAACTGATCAGTGTACGTAGTTGACTGCAACACGAGCACAAAGTAAGAGTATTATCTAACAACAACTACGAGACTAATAGACAGAAGAAATAATCTTATACAAAGTTCGAAATTCCACATATATTAATATATCTTACACCGTATTCGAGTATGCTCTAAATTTTTAAAGTTACTTTTATCATAGAATAATGTTACGTATGTCAAGGCTGGCTAAAGATTGATGTTGATGGTCACATTTCAAAAGCGTGACCAATTTGCTTATGAAATTTACATGTTATGAACGGGGTAAATACAGTGATGTTTGTCTACGGACAAAACCGTACATGCCTATCCTAAGTAAACAAATAATAATAAATTTGGTGTTCGTCATATACAATATATACACACACACGAAGAACAAGTAATGTAAATGCTAACCAGAAAACAAACGTAACGTAACCTAATCCATCCGTATCTAATAACTACATAATTTCTGTAAGCATTTTCATGAAATGTGGTACGGATAAGCTGCATGGTTAATTAAATTTATTTCCTATCCCCTTAACATCTAAAATGATTATTATTTTTTCATGAAATGTGGTACGGATAAGCTACATAGTTAATTAAATTTATTTCCTAACTCCTTAACATCTAAAATGATTATTATTACGCAACGTGATCGTTGATGATCTTACCCATTAGTAAACAGTCTAATGTATTTTAGCATAAATGTCAGTAATTATTAAACAATTACAATAGCTGATGGAAATCTAAATATCATACTATTAATTTTTATAATAATGTGTTGACGTAATGAAGGATGTAACGTGAGATTTTTCAGCAAGACATAAAAGAATAAATAAATAAATAAATCGAGACGTCACCAATTTAATTTAACACATGAACCTCGTGGCCAAAATTATATTGTACGAGAAGACCATAAAAACGAAATTGTACAAAACAAACATTCACGCTGGCGTCTGTCGAAGATATCAATTAAAAACACAAAACCTTTGCTAACCTTTTACAATCTTGCACCACACACACATCATTTAATAATGTAATGTACTTAACCATCAGCAGTTTATACACATCTTACTTTCTAGATGGTCACTGGAAAATGTATAGCTGCAACTAGCATTTGTACATACATCTACAAATAATTTATGGTAGGCTAATACTTTTTAAAAGAAAGAATTGTCTTACCTTATTATGACGCAAATATCCTTACTGCTGCAGGTACCTGTTAAGTTTCGCCTGTCCAGACCATCCTCTGCATCTTGAATGCACCTCCTTTCGTCAGAGCGAACTTGGCAAACAACGCAATACCTTGATTCCAGTGTGACGTAACCATATACCATACATGCAACCGCCTTCAGCACAGACACAGGTGATGTCAAACATAAATCTCTTTCATGTTTCTGCAAAGCCGAGCGCAGACCGAGGCGAGCAATGTTAGCGAACGACGTTCCTGGACAGTTTTTTGTAAACAATGTTGACAAAAACTCGATGCCAGGACCAAAACGACTTTTAGGAAATATTTATTCTGGCATACATTTAGTCGGTCAGACACTCACTAGTTTTATTTTTGTAATCTTCTGACGTGGCATTCCAGAAACATAACTCATAAATGTAACATGTTCTATGAACCACTCGACATCCATAATAAATACACTGTATCATTTAAATATTTCATACAAGAGCTACGTATCTAAAGTAAAGATTAACAAGACTGCCTAACGTTGCCTTTAATCATTAGTTATTAAGTGTTCTGTCTGACGACAGATCCATATGAACAGGATCCTTTCCTCCTTTTCTCGGACTGGGACCTGTTCATATACGTTCTTGGCAGATGATCCAGAAGTGGTTTGCCATTGCCTTCTTCTGTGTGTGAATGGAGTAATTGTTGGGATGCCACGGAGGAAAACTCCGTGTTGCCTAGACCACGGCCTTGCCCAATACAAGTTATAAATTCGGGCACCGCCGGGAATCGAACCCGAAACCCCCAGGATTACAAGGCCAGCGTTCTAACCGCTAGACCACCGTTTTAGATGTTATTTTTGTTTATTAACAACAAAATATGTGTGAAGTAGACGAACACGGGTTGCTTTAAAGTTTATCGTTCTGCTACCGAACATTAAATGTTCCCAGAAACAATTTTCTCCGATTACTAAATGTTTACAAGAAACGTTCGTCACACATTAATCTGAGGAAAACTGCGAACATTTATCGTCTTTGTCTGCACCCAGCTTAAAGAATAAAAAAGCAAGTCAATAAATGAGCTTTACCTTTCGAAATTCATCCAACCTTCAACACGACGCAGTTGTAGGCAGTTACTAATGAAATGTAGGTGGGGCTGGTGTGACCACTGCCCCTGACCTTTAACCCGCAGACTACAATTCATGTTTTCTTACAACCGCGAAGCATTTACGCGTTTTACAACATAGAATGCGTGCGAATTTGTGACGTATAGCGTTTTGACGTAATTGAAACATGGTACTCTGTTCTAATGGCAGTCTATATAATTTTGTACACGCCTGTAACACATTTCTTCAGATACTGTAAAATTTAAGTGCTTTACTGTGAAAGAAGAACATCAATTTAAGTATTTTTAATTGAAACAAAAAGATGACCCAGACTAACACAAGCATGGCCTTGAAAACTTCGAAACCTGGGGTTGCCGTTTCAAATTCTGCCCCAATCAAATGAAGTTTTATTCATTTCAAGAGAACTAATGTTGTTTTAAAAATCAATTACGACAATTTGTGAAAGAAATTAGTACATAATTATTTAAATATATAAAGTCGTGACTTCCCGGTGTCAAGATACTGATTAATTAAAGTGTCAGCAGAGCGAAAAGTCGCTCAGACAGCCTAGAAATTCTCAACCTTTCTTAAAATAATAAGGTAGTTACCATATTCACAACACTGGTCCTTATCTTGAGCCAGATGAATCCAATCCATACATTTTAACGTTTCTTCAATCTACTCCTAAGTCTCAAAAGTGGTACAGGATATTAAAACAAAATCATGAACATAATTATGCAATTAATACTAGTGACACGTATAATTGCGAAGCCAGCAAGTTACCAGAGATCAAATTACAAGAATCATACTGATAAAGTAGCCTAATTAGCTACATATGTAAATACCAATGTTAACACAAAAGTGTATGAAACAGAAGACAATGAACAAGTAGGATACCGCTGACAGATTTCTGCTTCAAGGTTGTGGCTTTTCATGCTATAGTGAGAGAACTGATTAGAAAGATTGTCTAACCAGTTAACTAAATACGAGTAACTAACTCTGAGGCCGAAGGTTCAATACCGCTATGCCTAAACATGGTCGAACAAGCGTGACTTGTTCGACCATGCGTCTGCCTCGTACGTAGAAAAAAGATCACTTACTCAGCACCACGGCGGAACAAAGCGGACCCAAGATTTAGACTTATTTTAGGTTCTTTCAGCACATATAACTAAAAAGGGAAATGCAACACAGAAATTACAACGATAATGGCAATGAACTGCGAGTGGGCAAAGATCTGAAAGAAAACTATTCAAGAATATTTCAAGGTGAAACCTCAGTTTTCGCTTCGAGAGAAAACTACGAAAAATATCTGAGAGGCTAGCCGGTCGTCTCGGGCAATCAGCCGCGTTAACTGGTTACCGTAGTAAATCGACGTTTCAGGAACAAACTCTGTCCCCCACCTTCAGGGTTCTGATGTGACTGGATCCTCCGCAAAAGTCTCAAATCCTATATTTTCAAAATTGAAGTCCTTTACATCGTCACATTCGCCGGACGGGAAATGGCGGCCTTGGGTATGCGTTTTATGAGAGAATGTGATCGATACCAGGACATCAGGCTGGATGCTGAAAGATAGCCTCACCCTTATTCATAGTTGGCTCCCGGTTAAAACCCTCGGCCCAGAGACGAATACCCTGACTCAGCTTTTTCGTAGTTTTTCTCAATCCAAGGATAGTACCTTAAAAAAGGTCGTGACCGCGTCCTTCCCTATCCCTCCCAATTCATTATTCATTTCTCATCCTCTCAATCGACGCTACAGTCTGAGTCACTGACAGCGTCGTTAAACAAAACATAGACAAATAAATTCATCCGCCATGAGGCAGCACTCCTCAGGCATCCAGAACTTCCTTGTCACAATTAATGGTTTACATCAGAGTCTGCTTTGCATTCTGTCTGTCTTCATTTTACTTGTTATTATAAATTATTTTTATACTCTTAACTTCACACATACATTTTCTGCTGTGCCTGTAATTTGTTCGTGATCTTGTCAGTCTTGTAATAACCCAATGAAGGTCGAATCGCATTTTTGCCAATTCTAAACTTTCTCGATGTCTCCTTTCAACAACTTATTACGAACATTTACGGCATCGTTGGAATTAGGTTGACGCTGGCATAAAAGGAACTGAACAGAAGAAACAATTAAAATTAACCTTGCAGCGTCCAGTAACCATTGTTATATGAAGCCACAGTCTTACGTAATTTCTGTCACATAATACAAAATGACACCGGCTGGGGATTACGATAAACATTTCTCTCTCCCGTTTCAGACTATTTCTCATTTATCTTCGGCAGACAGATGTTCAGTTATACATAGTAACGTATTGTAAGATAACAGATACTCAGATAACTACATACAGTTGCGGATTTATCTATATTTAGACCTATCAGCACCTTCAGAGTATCTAATAAGTCCTGTGAAGAACTAGTGACACCAACTCTCCAAATGTCACTCCTTTTTATAGAATGCGGATCAAAATTTTTATCAAATATCTCTTGACACGTGCAAAAAAACATAAAAAAATATAATTTTGCTTATTAACATAATTTTTATTTAATCAGGGTTAAGATAATATCAAGGCCGCCATTAAACCCGATCCACGATGAATTCCATTCAACTCGCATCGTCACAATTCAGTTTCCTAAGATAAATCTTAATATTATCTTACGATCTGCTCGATTCTACAAGAAGTTTCTCCAAAAAAATTCTGGATTCCACAGCACAACAAATTTTAAATTACAATATACTTCCATGACCCTCGGTTAAAAAGTCATAGTCCATCCAATGTATTATATCATCTTGTGTATTCTACAGACGCCCACAGGATCTGAGACAGACCTCGAGTTTTTCTATGATTAAAGGACCCCCTCGAAACGGCATTGGAATTCGTAACAACATGATAAGCTCTATTTAACTGCGTCTGCAGCAGCGTATTATTATGCCCCTCCTCACCAACTTAGTCCATAATCCAAATATTCATTTTCATATCGTATCTCCGGAAAACAGATTTAGCATGCACCTGTACTACTCATAACAGACCAATCTAAATTAAACATTTACGAGTAACAGTCATCTGAAAACCATAATGCATCGGGCTTCGTTATTACGTTTGCAAACGGACGTCCTAACCTACAACATCGGCAAAACAATTGTCGAGACACGGAAACTCAAGGCGCTTTGTAATTCTCAGTGCGATTAATTAAAATGGAAATCAAAAAATCCCAGAAAAATGCTGTTTATTAACGCAACTAGAACATATTCACAACTTCACAAATTTACAATACGATAAATACCTGTGCGACAACCAAGTTTCGTCACAATTTAGTTTTATCAATTTATTAACTTTTTTCAGTTCGCGAATAGTTCTTCTAATCTTTAAAATTATACAGTAGCCTGGCAGCAATGAACTTAACATGATCGGGGAGAGCGGAGTACAGAGATAACCCCATTGCATTCTTCCTCAGGGTCTGACTGACCACTGACGAGCACCTCTTCTGCGCCCGTGTTCCGTATACATATTAATGGGTTCATATTTAATTGAAAAACTCTCACAAATGATTAGCCTCTCTAGTAATTAACACTACGCAACCTCCTATCGACAAAATACAACTCCCCCCGAACTTTCTCCGCACAGCGTCACCACGCGAAGCCTTTGGGACCGTATGCGGAGTAAAACTGTTTCACTATATAAAAAAGTAAAAGTAAATCTGTCCCACTATACGCCGTGTAGGTCGTTTGGGGGCGGGGGCATTCTTGACCTTGGCACCAGATAAGGGTGAGTGGCCAGCATCACGCCCCGGGAAAGGAGCCCGGTACCCACTGGATAGGAGGTTGAGTGGGCCCCAGAACCGGTCAGGATGCAGAGGCTAGAAGAAAAATCCTCTGCCCTAGTCGGGGATCGAGCTCCGGTCGTCCAGTCCGTAGCCAGTCACTATATTGACTGACGTGACAAAAACAATCTTTCTTTTTTGAACTATGGCAGTACCATGTGTCCCAGCAACCAAACTAAAACCGAATTTAACTTACTGACACCCACTAAAAATGTTATAGAAGCACTTCGACTGAAATATTAATTCGATGAAGTAAGTTACCTTAACTTGTAGCTGCATGTCGAGAAACGTTGATCAAAAAGAAGATTATGTGGACTGTAGCAATCTTTTGCGAACACGGTAATGAATCTTCGTTATACTCTTAACTTCACACATACATTTTCTGCTGTGCCTGTAATTTGTTCGTGATCTTGTCAGTCTTGTAATAACCCAATGAAGGTCGAATCGCATTTTTGCCAATTCTAAACTTTCTCGATGTCTCCTTTCAACAACTTATTACGAACATTTACGGCATCGTTGGAATTAGGTTGACGCTGGCATAAAAGGAACTGAACAGAAGAAACAATTAAAATTAACCTTGCAGCGTCCAGTAACCATTGTTATATGAAGCCACAGTCTTACGTAATTTCTGTCACATAATACAAAATGACACCGGCTGGGGATTACGATAAACATTTCTCTCTCCCGTTTCAGACTATTTCTCATTTATCTTCGGCAGACAGATGTTCAGTTATACATAGTAACGTATTGTAAGATAACAGATACTCAGATAACTACATACAGTTGCGGATTTATCTATATTTAGACCTATCAGCACCTTCAGAGTATCTAATAAGTCCTGTGAAGAACTAGTGACACCAACTCTCAAAATGTCACTCCTTTTTATAGAATGCGGATCAAATTTTTTATCAAATACCTCTTGACACGTGCAAAAAAACATAAAAAAATATAATTTTGCTTATTAACATAATTTTTATTTAATCAGGGTTAAGATAATATCAAGGCCGCCATTAAACCCGATCCACGATGAATTCCATTCAACTCGCATCGTCACAATTCAGTTTCCTAAGATAAATCTTAATATTATCTTACGATCTGCTCGATTCTACAAGAAGTTTCTCCAAAAAAATTCTGGATTCCACAGCACAACAAATTTTAAATTACAATATACTTCCATGACCCTCGGTTAAAAAGTCATAGTCCATCCAATGTATTATATCATCTTGTGTATTCTACAGACGCCCACAGGATCTGAGACAGACCTCGAGTTTTTCTATGATTAAAGGACCCCCTCGAAACGGCATTGGAATTCGTAACAACATGATAAGCTCTATTTAACTGCGTCTGCAGCAGCGTATTATTATGCCCCTCCTCACCAACTTAGTCCATAATCCAAATATTCATTTTCATATCGTATCTCCGGAAAACAGATTTAGCATGCACCTGTACTACTCATAACAGACCAATCTCAATTAAACATTTACGAGTAACAGTCATCTGAAAACCATAATGCATCGGGCTTCGTTATTACGTTTGCAAACGGACGTCCTAACCTACAACATCGGCAAAACAATTGTCGAGACACGGAAACTCAAGGCGCTTTGCAATTCTCAGTGCGATTAATTAAAATGGAAATCAAAAAATCCCAGAAAAATGCTGTTTATTAACGCAACTAGAACATATTCACAACTTCACAAATTTACAATACGATAAATACCTGTGCGACAACCAAGTTTCGTCACAATTTAGTTTTATCAATTTATTAACTTTTTTCAGTTCGCGAATAGTTCTTCTAATCTTTAAAATTATACAGTAGCCTGGCAGCAATGAACTTAACATGATCGGGGAGAGCGGAGTACAGAGATAACCCCATTGCATTCTTCCTCAGGGTCTGACTGACCACTGACGAGCACCTCTTCTGCGCCCGTGTTCCGTATACATATTAATGGGTTCATATTTAATTGAAAAACTCTCACAAATGATTAGCCTCTCTAGTAATTAACACTACGCAACCTCCTATCGACAAAATACAACTCCCCCCGAACTTTCTCCGCACAGCGTCACCACGCGAAGCCTTTGGGACCGTATGCGGAGTAAAACTGTTTCACTATATAAAAAAGTAAAAGTAAATCTGTCCCACTATACGCCGTGTAGGTCGTTTGGGGGCGGGGGCATTCTTGACCTTGGCACCAGATAAGGGTGAGTGGCCAGCATCACGCCCCGGGAAAGGAGCCCGGTACCCACTGGATAGGAGGTTGAGTGGGCCCCAGAACCGGTCAGGATGCAGAGGCTAGAAGAAAAATCCTCTGCCCTAGTCGGGGATCGAGCTCCGGTCGTCCAGTCCGTAGCCAGTCACTATATTGACTGACGTGACAAAAACAATCTTTCTTTTTTGAACTATGGCAGTACCATGTGTCCCAGCAACCAAACTAAAACCGAATTTAACTTACTGACACCCACTAAAAATGTTATAGAAGCACTTCGACTGAAATATTAATTCGATGAAGTAAGTTACCTTAACTTGTAGCTGCATGTCGAGAAACGTTGATCAAAAAGAAGATTATGTGGACTGTAGCAATCTTTTGCGAACACGGTAATGAATCTTCGGGGTTCCATAAAAGACGGGAAATTTCTTGTCTAGAGAAATCGATGAGTTATATGCTGCAATATCTTTCATCAATTATGTTGGTATCCCTGAACGGTTTGTTTGCGATTCGTGCACAATTCGAAGTTCGTTCGACTGAGCACCGGTAAGTTTGATCTATCGCTAACAAAAACACGTTATCGTAAACTACGTTTGGTTTGATTTTATAAGCATTACTGATTGCGACTGGTGGTTGATTTATTTTAACTTTAGCGGAGGCAAGTTTCATGCAGTTTTATCAAAAGCGTTTCATTTTGCAGTTGTACAAGAATTAAGTGTCCGTGCTCCCGTGCATAGGAATTGTTTTAAATTTGTAGCCAGTAATCCGTAATCACACTTTGAATTTATATTAAGCATTACGTTGGCTTCTGCATGAATTCACTCACGGGGGAAGTATATAAATAATTCTTTACAAGACTTCAACACCCACTATTATTCTAATGATTTTTCTGTGTTTAATACTCTGATCCGTTGAATTTCTCTTACTCTGTATGACATGATGGAATACAAATAAGCAAAGTGTACCAATTCTGAAGTGCATTTTCAAGAGTGGTGCAACATGTCAATTTTCATAACCTGTATTACAGACCTGCCTCAACATTTCAGTTTCTGTACATTCAATTTCACTGTACATCCAACATGAGGTGAACGCATTACATTCAAATGAAATCTGAACTAAAAACAGTTTCTTTAATGTGACATCATTTTAGGTTATGTTATACCACACTTGAAAAATGTTGATGTTTTGTCTTCTATTAGTCTTCAGTTACATTACAGTATTAGCTAATCAATTCCTCTACGCTGCTTTACCAGCTTCCCTTTCTGTCAGCTTACACAGTGCAATGATACAAATATGACGGTAACATGGATTTGGGAAGTGGAAATATTTGTGGATAATTATGAAAGTTAAATTTTATTTTCAATTTATATCATCAAATAATATTCAAACAATATTTCCAACATTTTCATGCAGTCCATTTCAAGCATCTGGTGTCCAAATGAGTGCCGAGACATCTTACACTACAATATCTAGCCCCACATGGAATACACTTATAGTTACTAATGAAACCACATACAGCACAGAAATGTCTTTCAGGGACTTTGGATGGTGCAGCTTGAGCTGTTATGTAATTAGGTGGATCTGGATTGTAATTTTGATCTTCTTCTACTAATTGTGCAAATGTTTTGCGGAACCTGCAATAGGAAATTGCCTTGAACCATAGAGGAAAAATTAACAATACTTTTCATCAGAATGTAATTAATATTATTAGTAATTTATCCTATCTTCTTATGGACTGAATCCTGTACCATATTCAGGAGACTACCAGTTTGAATCTCAGCCAGGGAATAGATTTTTCTGGCTCTCCTGTGATGATCCATGCAAATTCAGAAAAAGGATCTTAAAACAGGCCAAAACTGCTTCCTCCCGCATCCTGTCAAACTCTTCATCATTGTTTTTCTTACTTATTTTACGTTATTCCAGCTAGACAGTTCATATGGCATCATTAATGAGACAAAGAAAGAAGACCTCACCTCTGTTTATAGTATTCTGCACTGCGTGTTTTCTTTTTCCTTCCACCTCTAGATTCTAATGTTTCCTGGAATTTTGGAACCTTCTTGCTCATAACTGCAATTTAATGAGAAAAGACATATAACTGATATAGCATGTATTAGAAGACTCATGAAATGTAGTGACATTCTGATCAGACATGAAATGGGTCTAATTCAGACTTACCCAAATCTGCATGGGGATCATCATGAAAATTATCTAGTTCTAGAGCTTCTAATGCCTTTCTCATTCTCCTTCGGCGGGCTGCTTCATCAAGAACTCTCTTCTGATTTGCATCTTTCAAACGTCCAGATTCTCTTCCTGTTGCCATTTTCTCTGATATATTCCTTCAGTTTACAGTCCTCTGTCGGCCAAAGGGAAACTAATTTGGTCCATTAAATCATCAACACGAGCTTGTAAGGTTTCCAGGATATCAGCTGAAATAAACAGATGTCTCTCGTCTAAATCTTGGATAATAAATTTCCTTCCCAAAGCCACTGTTTCATCCAGATGTAACAAGAACTGTTTCATGGCCTGATCACTGAAATACAAAATTTATTCAATGCATGAATAATCAGAGTGTATATAAGACCTCAAGTTCTAGCAATGTACGGCCTAAGAAATATTAACTATGTATTGAAACTAGTCTATAAGTTACATCTTGGTATCTAGTGACCTGCGTCCAGAATAAAGTAGAAGTATTTGCTTCTCTCCAGAAAGTTTATAAATATATATATTTTTTTAATTTTATAAACTTTGAATAAGTAGTAAAATCACGAAGCTATGACACAATTCTGATTTGTTATGAAAACTGCCGAAACATGATATTGTATATTGATAAATAGATGCTTGAAACTTGCTTGATCTCAAAATAAGTTTTTCTTCCAGGTTTCAATAATTGCAGAAATCATGTCAAAGCAGAAAGGAGTAAGTGCAGAAGAGAAAAGAAAGAGAATGCTACAGATATTTCATGAGAAAAAAGAATTTTTCCAATTGAAAGTAAGGGTGTTAATAAAACGGATGTCACTGACTTCTATATCTGATTTTTCAGTATATCTAAACCTATAATACATTTTCTCTTTATAGGAACTGGAGAAAATTGCACCAAAAGAGAAAGGAATCGTTGAACAGTCAGTCAAGGATGTAGTTCAAAGTTTGGTGGATGATGGCCTAGTGGACTCAGACAAGATTGGAACATCAGTTTATTTCTGGGCATTTCCTAGGTGCTTGATCTACTTCCTGCATACATTTATTCATTAATCAGTCCCCAGCTGATACTGTCCTGAATGGAAAGGAACAGTATAAGTTAGTTTTTCAGAACTTAGCTTGAGTACAGCAAGATGGTACTTTCTTCAATTTTAAGTTAAAGCCAGAAGATAACAAACATACTCTCTTTCTGGTTGTTGAAGACTGACTAGTATTATCCACTAAAAGACCAATGTCTTGTAGATGTCACAATTATGCAACAAGCTCTTGACAAATCTGGTTCAGGTAGACCTACTTTAAGTTGAGTATGGATATTATATCTATGGTGCTGAGTCAACAAATGATAGAATTCTTTATAAATTTTCTAAAAATTTCTTATTTGGCCCCTGAAGAAATTTTGCATATTGAAAGGAACAAATTCAGCAAAGTGAAACTTGCAAGATGTTTCTTAAAAATGTATATATTAAGTTGAACCACTGTGATCTTTACTTATAAAATACATATATTACATTTCTTTTCAGTAAAACTAAACATTCCAAGAAAAGGCAACTGGAGAATGTAACAGATAAACTAAATGATGTCAATAAAAAAATAAAGATATCTCAGGAAAATGTTGCTGCAGCAAAAATTGGACGAGAACCGACACAAAAACGTAATGAGGTTTTACAGAGAGTGGCACAACTGACGGCTGAAGAAAAGTTGTTGTTAAAAAAGATACAAGATTATGAAGTATGCGATAAAATGGAAAATGAATCTCAGGTATGAAACATATTTTTGAAGATATTGCTTTTATGTTGCCATTCCCACTTACTCCTTTATCCTTTCCAATTCATTGTTCATTAATGATTCTGTAAAGTGACCTATATAGTCTGAAATACCCAACATCATTAAAATAAACAACTAAATAACTGCATACAAAATTCTAGTCAGAAAATGAAAAAGAGCAAAATCTCTTTGAAGTTCTTGTGTAGATCTGAGGACAATATTAAAATGAAACTTGGAGAAGTAGGATATAAAAACAAACTGGATGCAATGGTCAAGGATAGTGTCTGATAAGCTTTTGTGAAAACAGTAATGAACAAACTTGTTTGTTCTGTTAAAGTAGATAAGTTTTTAGCCAGCCCAATTAACTTACATTTTCTATGGTCATTAAAACTTTGTAGAAATACAATTATCTGACTCATTCCTTCAGTTTCAGTATCTTACTAATGTAAATGAAATAAACAGATGGTTGTTTAAGTTAAATCTGTCACCACTGTGTCTCACTTCACCATTAAAAATAACCTTTTCATGTACATGACAACATACTACTTCCCATTGTAACATATTCATCATTTATCAGAATGCCTCTTTCTCATTAACACAATCAGATTTGTTTATTTTCATTTCATTATATGTGTACTTAATTAAGTGATACATTTCTTTTTCAGATTGCAATTGAGTCAGCCAACAGATGGCTTTGCAACATACAATGTGTTGTGTCATATTGTGAGAAAAAATTTTCTATAGATCAGAAAACTCTACAGGAGCATTTTGGAATTGATCCAAATATGGAGTTTCTGTGAAAAGTATAACAGAAGTGTTAAATAAAATTACTTTAAGATGTGTTTCTAAACTTTAGAATGTGATAATGGACAATGTTGTATATGTAGCATTGTAACTGCTGTTTACAGTATACTGATTGGTCAGTTTCATGTATAATAAATTAATGTACTTTAAAGAAAGCTGACCCTGTAACTAAGCACCATTCATTCTCAACTATGGCAGTAAATGGAGGTCAGTGGTCGGCCTCATGCTCTTGCTATTTCATTCCTGAGAAATTAGCTCCCAGAAGGAACAAATGTTTGTCTTCTAGTTTGTAGCTCACTAATATCTGTTATTTGCAGTGAAGTATAAAAAGGTATATATCATGTAGTGATCTGATCCCATCAGAACTGATCAATGTGGGAGGCAAAACACTGCTTTCTGAAATCTAAAATCTTATTCATAATTTCCTCAAACATTCTTGACTTCACACATGTGAGAACTTTTTTTAACTACAATGGGACAGTAAAGCAAAGGCTTCAGATCATACATTATTTTTAAAGCAATAAGCCACCATTTTGATCAGACAGACATAACCTATTTGATACACCACATAATGCTCACTTACCATTCTATTAAAATACCTTTCATTACATTCACCATAACTCCTCGTACGTTCTTCTTACTCGATGAGCTTAACAAAACCACAACTGAAGTTCAATCGAATAACACAACACACATCAAGACGGAACCTCTTCTATGTTTTAATCTGTGGTGCTGACAACTTACGACGTACAGTTAGTAGCACTGAAAATACCAACATAGATAGCAGGAACAAGAGCATGAATCACAGAAAGCAGAGTTTAATTGAAGATGACTGTCTTCTGTGGCAATGTGTATATAATGGTCATCTTACGGAACATAAATGTTTGCCGACATTTCAGAGAAATTTACTGCCTCCATCATTAGGGGTACAAAGAATGAAAATATTAGGCAATGCCTCACAACGTACTGAAAAGAAAATTAAATGCACGGGAAATTCAATCAAAGTGTGCAGGAATACCAACATAATATTCAAAACACTCCCTACATGAAATATGGCTGTCCAGTATAGGCAAAACATCTTGACAAATATAAACAACGTAGTAGTAGTAGTAGTAGTGAAAATAAAACCGAACTGTTAGGTATATTTTTCTTTTACCAATCTATAAGCACATTTACAACTGTCCTGAAAATGCTAAGTCATTTCAAGGCCTTCAATAGATTACCGAAGAGTACAGCAAATAGCATGTTTATCTAGTTGAAACTTTGTACCTTGACTGGACTCTGAATATTTTTACGGAGTATATTCACAGCCGATGAACTTGTTTGAAAGAATATATAGGCTTGTATAATTGATCACAGTGAAACAAATTTCAGGGTGTAGCAGACTATGGCACTCCCATTTCATGTGGTGACTAGGTACTTGTCCTCTTCACGAGCAATGGCAGCCGCTATTAAAAATGTTACAGTGATTGGTGGTGGTTTAATGGGCTCTGGAATTGCACAGGTAAAAACAATAATTTTTTTAAGCGTTTGGGTCATTTATTTCTGGAAATGTGAAACAGTGTGTTTATTTCTTTCTGAACTTTTTAAAAACCTTCTTCCTCTGAGTAACTGAACTTTTCTTTCTAAAGAAACAAAATAACACTGGTCTGAATAAATATTCTACCATTTTGTATGATCACTTTCTTAATCATTTATGATTGTATTAAGGTTACGCTCCATTGTATAGGTGGCCGCCCAGACAGGCCATCATGTTACCATTATTGAAATTAATGAAGATGCAGTAAAGAAGGCAAGGAATGGAATTGAAAGCAGCCTACAAAAAGTGGCAAAGAAACTCTACAAGGTATACACTTATTGTTTATCTTATATTATTTTACCAGAAGAGTTTAAAAGTGTGCGCATATGGAAAGCTTCCTGCTTATGTCTGCTTGGTAAGGATGTAAAAAGGGGTACTATAAACAGAATCAAATTTATTAATTTTCTTCTTTATGCCAAAGAATAAGACATGATTTTATGTTTAATTATTTTGTGACTAGACTGAAACAAATTAGAGACAGAGTTAATCTGATTTAATATGATAGGACAGTTATCAGTGATGAACTAGAAGGGATGGGTCTATTTCTGTATAGAGGCAGCTCCTGAATATGATAGTATATACCTGCATAATAAGAAGTCATACAGTCACACTCTTCACTGTTGTTATGTTACTCATATAAATTCCATACTGAAATTGAAGTTTCCATTTACCCTTACCCACCAATATGTAACTTAATATAATGCAAATCCTCAGCAGTGCTCAAAACTGCCAAAATCTGTGCCAAAGATCCAGCTTAATATTATCTTCACATTTCATCTGTTTACCAACCAAGAGGTAACTTTAAGATCAGATTTTCCCACCAAAATTCTAATATATTTATTGTCTCCACCTTCTAAGTTACATGACTAGTCCATCATAGGTGTTTACAGTGCTGTTTGACCTGTAGAAATAACATGCCTATTTCCTTGTTATTTGATGTCATCCATTAGTCACTTTACCTGCAAATATCCAGTAAAATTTCTTTCATTCACAGGACAAGCCCACTGATGCTGAGACATTTGTGAAGGAGACACTAAGCCGACTGCACACTTCCATAGACGTGAAAGAAGCAGTGAAGAATACTGACCTTGTAGTCGAAGCAATTGTTGAAAATATTGATCTTAAACATAAACTTTTCTCAAGCATTGATTCAGTATGTATCATATTATATTTTAGAACATTCCTTTTTCTCCATGGTGATCACCTGGGTTATGACACCATGAAAATGGATATGATATGATTTTCTAAAATGATAGTAATGATCTATATAACAACACCATGTCAACTTCAACCTTCACCTTGATCTAATTATCCTTACCTAAAGACAAATGTATCTGAAGGAATTATGGAAAGTTCTTCCCAGAATTTATTACTGAGTTATGGAAGTCCTTAGAATTGTGTTACTTAGATTTTTACTCTGCTGATGAGAATATGTGGATTATGTGCTAGGACATATTGTTAGATTTAGCAAATACTTCAACCCTTCTGCTTCTCCATCACTACGTACTTCAAATTATGAGGTCCAAAATGTCCAGATATGAATGAAACTGTAACTTTGATAGATACATAGGCACATGGTATATATTATATTAATATTAGTGCTGTTAAAACTTTTTTTTGCAAGTTCACCCTTATTCAGATTGCCCATTATGCAGTCTAATTGTAAATGCAATTCGTGTTTCAGATTGCACCAGAACATACAATATTTGCTTCAAACACGTCATCGTTGTCCATTCAAGACATTGCATCTGTTACAGAGAGGAAAGATCGATTTGGAGGATTACATTTCTTCAATCCGGTCCCAGTCATGAAACTTTTAGAGGTAAATATGGAACGTGGTAGTGGAAATTAATCTTACAAACATTGTGGTATAATGCCACCATGATGAAAACAAGGCACAGTATTATTATGGTGATTCAAATGTAAAGCAGTAAATAAGCTCTTGCTATGCCATTAGTGATCCTTGGCACAGTATTATTATGGTGATTCAAATTTAAAGCAGTAAATAAGCTCTTGTTATGCCATTAGTGATCCAATGTATAAATGGCAGAAAATTATAGGTTTATCCATGAAATTTCATGTGTCATTGAAATAGCTGGTACTTGTGAGTTATCGGGACACATCGCTTTAAAAATAGGTTAGGTTATGTTGTCATTTATTGAAATAAAATATAATAACTTTCAAGTATATGTCATTTATCCACACACATTAACTAACCTAACCTAACTTATTTTTAAAGCAATGTGTTCTGATTAAAGTGTGTTTGAATGAAATATTATAATAAAATCCATCCATTTATCTCACAAATTTCATATTTACAACAGTTCAAAAGGGAGAAATGTTTTAATGTCTGGTGAAATTTGCTAAAGAATATGAAATTAGCAAGGTATAAAAAATAAGGGTCTGAAATAAATGGGACACATCAGCTTCAGGCCTGTGCTTACAATATGCATGGAAAACTGAGAAATGTTTGTCAACAGGAAAAGAACCACGTGTGAGATTTCAGACTAGATTGGATGATAATATAAAATTGGATTTATGAAGCAGTCCTGGCAATTTCTTGTTGAATTAGGCTTTTGGTTCCATAAAATGCAGGGAAAATCTTAAGATGGCTGTTTTAAATCCTATAGGGAAAATCTTCACTAGCTGAGTGACTATTAATATATCAAGAAAGAAAGAGTTTTGCAGAATTAGTTTTGGTACTGCAAAGAACTATAAGTGAATGCGTGCTTTCCATTTTAACTTGAGAATGTTGCTGGTGTTTGGGTTGGTATGATTAATTTTTAGTTATGAAAATTATTTTTGAAGAATCCAGTTATGCAATTTGTTTAAAAAAAGGTTATCCGTATACCAGAGACATCTGATGAAACATATGAGAAAATTACAGCATGGGGAAAAGCTCTTGGAAAAACAACAATTACCTGCAAAGACACGCCTGGATTTGTGGTTAACCGATTATTGGTACCAATGTTGGCGGAGGCTGTCCGAATGTTAGAAAGGGGTAAGTTAACAAAATGCAACATAACCACACAGCCAATGTGAAAACACTAAATTGGTGGTCTTTTATTGGTCTGATAATCATGAATACAGTTAATTATGTTGAAGGTTGTTTTTTTCATTCCTGTATGTGAAGAACCCACTGTAATTTTAAGCTTGAAGGGTTACTGCTGTTTCAGTTTCTGAATTAAAATACAATCAACATGTTTACCGATTTGTTTTGTGTTCAAAACTTGTTCGCAACTATGATCTTACCACATATTTCCACGTGGAAGTAATTTTAAAATATAATATTTACAAGCTACATGCTTTAAAAGGACAAGATTCATATGCAATTTTTATCCATCAAATTCTGTTCTAGAAGTATACAGATTTATTTGAATCTTTAACAACTGTCAGTGTACCGTGCCATAGCCGCGCGGTCTGAGGCATCGTGCTTCGGACCGGTGATACAGAATGCGTGCTGGTTTGAGTCTCGGGGAAAGAAATTGCTCACGAGATTTTCGACCGGTGCCAACCGAACATCGTGAGGAAATCGGGAATCTAACGTAATCTGGTCAGGAAAGCTAGCAATGGCTGGGGGTTCGTCGTGCTGACCACACGTCATCCTGTATCTGGTTGGATGATCGTTCACCTCTGCTTAGGCATGTGAACGTGAGGCCAGCAGCCAGCTTTGGCTCTCATAGGGCTGTTACACCACGGATTATTAACAGCTGTCAGTTTCATTTATAATAATGCTTACTTCCATAACATTACTAAGAAATTATAAAAATACCTTTAATATTTAATGCAATCCTGCAGTATCTACAATACTAAGAATATAATTTTGTCACCTTTGGCACCAAACGTTTTTCTAATCTTGTGTTATAATGACATTTTCTCAGCATGTGAATGATGCAGGTAGTAGATGCTGCTAGTATATGAGTTTGCTTTGTGTTGCCAGGTGATGCTACAGCAAGGGACATTGACACTGCAATGAAATTGGGCGCTAGTCATCCTATGGGGCCATTTGAACTCGCAGATTATGTTGGCAATGACACCACCAAGTTTATTCTTGATGGTAAGGAAAACATTTTTTGTATTTACTATGCCAGCAGCTTGTGTAAGTAATACAAAATTTTTATGAATTAGCAGGAAAGGTATCCATTTATCACAGCATTTTAAACAATTTTAGTATTTGATTGTGTAATTTATAATTTTCTCTTCATATTTGCTATTCTTGTTTTCACTTATTCATGGTCAAGCTCCCAAAAATACGTTATCACGTACCGTATTTGCTTAAGATGACTTTGTTTACTGTTTTCGTTGTAGGATGGCACAAGAAGTACCCAGATGTCGAGCTGTTTAAGCCAATTCCTCTGTTAACGAAACTAGTAGAGGAAGGGAAGTTAGGAAGAAAGACTGGACAAGGATTCTACACATATGACAAGAATACAAAGTAAAACATCCTTTCCAACCGTAACAGAAACGGGATATCAACTGACCTGCTCATTTACACAGATTTTTTATGCGCTTTCGTATTCAGTCATGGACCAATTGATCCATGTTAGTCCGCTCCAAGATTTGTTGTTGTTCACAAGATAAAACATATCCATCCTCTTCCTTCTACAACAGATAATAAAAAATATAAATTATTAAATGATATAATTCTGTACTTAGAAATGTCATTGGATAAGCTGAGAAAGCCAGATATGTGCTAAGGAGTTCACATATTAACAAGTTATAGAGCAAAAATTATAAACAATTCTGATGTTTGCAAAATCACAGAACAGAATTACTGGGAGACTGTGTCTGTATGTCCAGCTGACTATTTACTCATAACACAGTGTGTATTTGAATAGCTTTAAATGCAATTTTAATTAATAATTATTGAAATAAGCTAAATGAAGACTCTCAGACCATGGCAAGGTTCAAAAGGTTTCTCACAAAACATTTTGAAACATCAGCCTATATTTATTATGATGCAGCAATGAATTAAGAAAATGATATCCTGAATCTTTTGTAAATTTAGAAAATTTCAATGTACTGTTTATAGATATATTAATTGCATGGCTGCAGCCTATACTGGCAAAGTGTTCAGTCATACTGTTTACATATTGTCTCTGTATCATGAGCATGGAATCTGCAGTGGCCACGCGGTCTGAGGCGTGGGCCTTGTGCCACTCGGTCGCTGGGACCGTGGGTTCGAATCCCACTCAAGCCATGGATGTCTGTCCGCGTCTTTTTGTGTCGTGCTGTCCCATGTACAGGTAGAGGCCTTGCGACGGGCCGATCCCTCGTCCAAGGAGTCCTACCAAATGTCTATAGATTGAGCCAATGAAAAGTTGGGACCCGCAGTGCTCAGGCACTTGAAGAACGGGTCATTCCCAGTATCCCAGTATATAAACATTAATAAAATGTCTAATTGTTTACCATCTGGAATTCAGCCCTTTGAGAGAATCTTGTCGGAGCACCCCATTTGGTTGAGAAAGAAATAGTAGTAAAGTTTACGTGCTAATCCTTTTACCTTCTCTGCTGATGGTCAGAAATCTCGTTAAGCTGTTGGAGAGGCAAAGTTTCTGAAACTGCGACATTGTTTGCATACTGGCATTTAGTTAAGAAGCGAGTAGTGCTACAGTGAAGACAAAAAGAGTATACTTGTTTATATAATCCTAAAAGTGGCAAAATATCCTTATTTTTGACTTGATCTTTCTACCGTTTCTTGCAACATTTACCCCTCATGTCCGACCAGCAGTCCCATTTGTAGGAATGGGTCAATACGAGGCAGAAATCACGGTCTTACTAAAATCTCTGGTAGAAAGATGAGAGATTTTGAGAATATGGCAACAGTCACTGCGCTCTTTCAACTTTAGAATATTGTTCAAATGCTTTCAGATACTTGTCTGAAAACGATGTTAAATTGTTGAAACAAAGCGTAATATCGTTCAACAGGATAGAATTCTGTGCACGTTTCAAGTTGCAAAACCCTTTCCTGCATCATCATTCCACTTACAAGTTTGTATATCCTGTATGTTGGCACTGTGCTATCTCGACGGACACGGCAAAGATATCAAAACATTCCCCATATATTATATATTTTCGTGTAGTATTATAATCTAATGCAACTGAATGACACAATGAGATACATGAAGCCGAGATGTACAACAAAACATAGTATCATCGTATAACAAAAGAAGATGAAAAAGAATGGCCTAAAGAGTGAAAGGACCGTCAGGAAACGAGTAGTCTATGGGATAATGCAGAATATCACCCCACCTTGCAATCTAGTATTGCAAATTATGGCCACTGGCAGGCCATCTTTTTTGTAACAACATCCGCTTTCTTAACGATGACTTGTCTTTTGTACCACACACGGTCGAAGACGATATTGTCTCTCTGTCACGGTATGGACGAAAACACATCGCCTTGATGATGGAGGCAGTAAGGGCCTTTGAAACGTTGGTAAACTTGTATCAGACTACACGAACATCTTCGCACTCTGCTGTGAGAACCTCGAATCCTACGTAGACTGAGGATATCTATAAACACGGTAAAGGACCTTCAGTTCCCACGAAAGGCGAGAAGCATTACTGCTTTCACAGTAAGCATTCTGCATGGAGACCATTGGTTAGTAGACCTACATAGTACATGTACATATAAAATTACGGTGTAAAAACCTGATAAAAAGAGACCGCTTGGGACAAAAAGGTATAGATAAAAGAATACATTAAAATGTATCTTCGAGAAATACAATGCGAGAGTTTGGACTGATTTCAACTGTCTCAGTATAGTCCAATGACGAGATCTCTTCCCAAGGGATGAAAAAGAACAATTAATAATCGCCCATATTATTAATACGGTGAAGTAATAATCGTCGCGAGCTGTACTGATGCGGTAGTTCTCAAAATGCATTCTTTCGTGACTGGAAAGTGAAGTTCGCTTGGCCACTCCTGTACTCATATGGTGTACTGTGTCTTTAACACGACAGTTCATTTTAATGCAGCCACAATTACGCATTTCTGTCTTTTCCGATGTCCTCACCCTTTTCGCTGCTGTTGTGTCAAACTCAAGAACAGTTTCCCCCTCCCCCCACTCCACTTACAGACAAGGGCAAGGGGAATCATAAGGAAGGGTAGTGTAAAGATACACCGCGGGAGGGCCCATTCACACGAAAAGCACCTCATCCCCTAGTTCTTTTTTGACGAAACCCTTTGTGCACACACACACAGGAAAATAAACGCCTTTTCTCAAAGATCTTGTTACCTCTTTTTCAGCAGAGAGAGGAAGAGTGTGATATGTACTGAATTAGAACTCCTTTCAACCAGTTACTGATCTACAGTAATAAAATAAACTTTAAGGAACATGAGGCTGGCATTGTTTCTCTGGGTTTTGATGCCATATAGGTTTGCAGATGGAGACAGTATGTTTCTACTGCATGACTACGCGATGCGTTCTGTCCACTCCTAATCTAGATTTACTCTGTTTTCAAAAGGATTTATTGCTTCTTATGTTATTTATGACACTGTTTCAACCACAAAGACTTTACCCCGAGGAACAAGCCTGGAATGGTGGATCTATAAGGATCAACCACAAAGACTTTACCCCGAGGAAGAAGCCTGGAATGGTGGATCTATAAAGGCAGAGTACGGGACATGGCCTATTTCAAACTATTAATACTATCTCGTCATTTACCTGGAGAGACTAAGGAAATAAAAGAATCAGCTTAGAACAGCCAGTACTGCGCCGAGATTCGAACCGGTACATTCTGAATACACATTTACACCGTTACCTTACAAGATGCTTGGTAAGAGGACCGATTTAATTTTGTTGTTTATTTAACGACGCTGTCTGCAGTTCAGTAGCTACGAAAGATAAGATGATACATGGATAACTGGGAAGGTCGGTTTCCAGGCCGAGATTTGAACCAGGAGCCTCCTGAATACGAAACCGGAGTTTGTTAACGTCTAGGAAGCGACGTTCGGTATCTGAACTGATTTTGACTACTTCCGGTGCACTTTGGTACAAAATCTCGTAGAGTGTATTTGATTCTGTTGCAACAGGAATGACAATTCCACTATAGTCCTCCCACTTTCTCACCAGTTTTGATGAAATTCAGTATCGTCAATATCACTGAAAATTTTAAACAATACTGAAGCGAAGAGATGAAGGAAGAACACAAAGGATGAAAGAAGAACAAGAGAAACAATAATATACCATATACATCTACCAGATGAAACGCCCATATGAGAAACGTGTTAGCAGCGACATCTCCCTTGTCTTCGAGGTTATGAATGACGCTGATAAGTTTTACCTATTCGCCGCTTGAGGGCTGGGCAGAGAGAACAAAAGACCTTCGCATTGTAATGTCGGCTTGTGGTGACAGACAGCAGGACACTTCCGACGAATCGCCATTTTGACTCATTAAGAAATAATAAATCTAGAACCGGGTGTGGAAAATAGACTTTCAAATTCAAGGGGCGAAGTTGGAAGGAAGACGCAACAATAGTTACTTGGAAATTTGTTAAAGCAAGTGTGAACTAAATCCATTCTATGGCTTTCGAGAACAATGTGTCTAATTTTATAAAGTAATAGCGACAAATTATTTTAATGAAAACAATATGTGAGTTACAATTATATTAATATTTCTCAAGCTGCAACAAAATTAATAACAGATTAATGGGCTTTAAGTGGACGTAGATAAGAGGATAATACTCATGTGTGTTAAGGAAATAGTACGAGGGAACGGATTCAATTGAATCAGAGTAAGATTTAGCGACGGTTTCGTGTGAACACGTCAATGAGACTTCGGATTCCACACAAGTTGAGGAATATCTTAACCAGATGAGCGACTGTTCTTTTATGAATGACCTGGTCCATGAACTTAAAGGGGAGTACCAGGTTAAAACCTCAACCGGACTTCGACGACTGTGTCCGAGGTTCTTTGTGGTTTTACTCAGTCTCTCCATATAATTTTAGGGTGTTTCCTGAACACAGACAAATGATTCTGCCTAGATAACTCAGGTTGTTGGAAATACGAAGTTACACAAACCAAGAATCAACCAATTAAGACGAATCTTGGGAAAATTTGTTGGTAGGTGGCAGCACGTGCCTCAGGATCGTGTGCGAATGTGCGTTTCGATATCAGTGGCGGGCGAAGCGTCATGGATTGATTCTACTTGGCTTGCGAGTTGCTTTCAGCAACTGTTGTGTTCTATAAACGTATACATTCGTTGTGAAACTTCTGCTAGAAAACACATGCGAATGTTTTATTAAATCGAGCACGTTCAAGTAGTTGTTATATTCTAAACTTCTTTTCGAGAGGCGCCTGGTTCGAATCTTGAAATGAATATCAATTCTCTGACTGCTTTCTGCGTTACTTTATTATCTGGGACAGTATTTTGAAACAAGTCATGACCATTTCCTTTCAGCTCTTAATCATATCTCCACATCATTTGTTACCATATGAATTCTGTGCCTAAGAATAATCCAATTTTTGGTTTGAGTTATTTTAAACACGAAGCAGTTCTCGGTGCAATCCAAAGAT